CACACCAACTCATGCAAATTTACACTTTCTGATACAATGGCTACTTTCATGCACATTACACTATTAGAACATATCAATAACCAAACTTATAACTAGGATCAGCATGCCATATATGTTAAAGATAGCAACTGTCACTACAATTAACATTACAATACCTGGTAGTTTTCTCACAAAGACATTGTACTTACAGATTTACTAACATTAACATATAGTAGATAATACAAGTAGGATCGCAAGAGTTCCCATAAAAAACAAACTTCATTACAAAAAAGACCAATACTAGAACAGTATCGGTATATTCCTATGTAAAACCCTATTATTTAGATGAAGTACCATTTAACTGGTCGTTCCTATCTTGTAATGGTAACATGTATGTTATGTAACATAATGGCAAGTGTTGTTTGATTAACAAACCCAACTATACATCAAAGTGTTCTGGTCTAGGGCAAAAGTTGTAAAGCACTACTGGGGTCAGTGTCAGGCAATACTCTTAAACTGTCCAATGGTTTTACAAATTATGAACTTTAAATGTTACGCCAATTCCAGTTTTTGGTGAATATATATTCCAGCTACTTATAAATCATCATCACCATAATATCAAATTTGATTAAAAGTTTGAATTAGAAGTCTAAGGTATTTCGAGACACTTGAACCTATCAACAAAACATCAGCCACAAGTGTTCCAATCTATAGGATCTACATGTTACCTAGCAACAGAGGCAGGGGGTCCTGAAATGTCATTCATACAAAACCTTCAGTACAAATAATATATGTATACCCCAATACCTCCTATAAGAATACATATGGTTTAAAAGTTATATATCTTTACAAAGTTGAAAACAGTAAGTTTGGTCGAACGGTTTTTAAATTAATCCAAATTAAAATCATAGAAATATAGTAACATACTTACTGTATAACTAGAACACTAACAGGTCAGTAAGGGCCCCGTCTTGTGGCAATATATCCCCCATATAATCATCAAGAAGCAATCTGCCCATATAGCTGAGCTTGACGTTTAACATTTGGACTTAAAAAAGAATCGCAAGGAAGCAAAATATACATTTTACATGTATTATGATGTGAGTCTTGTTTCCTTCCACCTCCATATTTGCTGGGCTAACAGAAATGTAAATACCGGTGCAATACTCATTTGTTAGCTTTGATTTGTTTTATTTCAACTTATACACCTCCTCCATCAAGAGCCAGGGTCAAAGTCAGATATCCACTTTGTCTTTGACCTTTGGACCCTAATGACCTTGACCATTACCCCAGTGACCCTGATCTTTGGTCAGTTGACTTATTCTTTAATTCCGACCGACTTTTGCTTCATAATATCATAACAAAATGTTCATCAGTGAAAAATACAAAACTTGACCTTGACCCTTTGGACCCCGTAACCTGGACCTAAGGTCAGTTGACTCTGTGTTAAGTTCTGAACAAGTTTGCTACATAATAACATAAAATGACCTTGACCTTAAGTCAGTTGACTCCTTTTTAAATTCGGACGAACTTTGCTTCATAATGTCATAACAAAATGTTCATCAGTGAAAAGATACAAAATTTTACCTTGCCCTTTGACCGAGTGACCTTGACCTTAGGTCAGTTGACTCTTTGTTAAATTCCGACTAACCTTGCTTCATCATGTCATAACAAAATGTTCATCAGTGAAAAGATGCAAAATTTGACCTTGACCTTTGAATCTAATGTCCTTAACCTTTGACCTCAACTTTTTACCTCAGTGTGTCTCTTTGTTTAATTCCGAACTTTGCTTCATAATGTCATAAAATGCTCATTACTGAAAAGCTACAAAATTTGACCTTGACCCCTGACCTGATGACCTTGACCTTTGGTCAGTTGACTCCTAATTAGTGCTTGTTATATATTTTGGGATTTAAAGTAACTGACAACAAATGTACAAATAGATCTAATGTTTCCTTCGTCAGGTTGACATTTCAATAACACTATAATAACAGTTTACTGTTTCTCTCTCTCTTTTCATAATTTATGTTCACCAAACTGTTTCAACTATGTAGAGAGAAATGGAGGACATGCAGAATAGTAGGATACAACACCATTATAACCTTAACAAGAAAGAGATTTCACCTATTACATTAAGAGGAAATTCTTCCCCACACATTATGGTTTATATGCAGGTGTTGGCCCTCTCCCTAAAGGTAAATACACACATATTAAACTAGATCATAATCAAATGATAAGAAACGGAAATACAAGACCAATTTAAGTCAAATTCAGAAATGTTTAATACAGTTCATTATCACAGGAATCTGAAATGAGCTTATTGAAAGTATAAAAACAATAAAGATTATAACATGACTTGAAGAAAACAAAAATACTGTAAACCAATTAATTTAGTTAGAATTACAGGTTCATAATTAAAAACTTTGATTAAACATTTGATAAAATATTTCCTTGTTTTAAAAGTTTTAAATACTGACTAGACTAAACACATTTTCATCAAATTCCAACACTGCAAAATTAACTTTCAAATAACCTTAAAAAAACCTTTAAATGATAGAACTGGTTTACAGTAGGTGAAGCATAAAAGGTGTTTAAGAGATCTGAATTGAGACAGGTTACACTAGTATACAGATAGATAGTAACTAGATCAGGCATCTAGACACAGATAGTACTTATATCTACTTGTTACAGGGAGAAGTCAGTCTATACAGATATTTCTTATATCTACTTGTTACACAGAGAAGTCAGTCTATGCAGATGGGACTTATATCTACTTGTTACACAGAGAAATCAGTCTATACAGATAGTTCTTATATCTACTTGTTACCGGGAGAAATCAGTCTATACAGGTAGTACTAATATCTACTTGTTACAGGGACAGGTCAGTCTATACAGATAGTACTTATTAGATAGTAACTAGATCAGGCATCTGGACACAGATAGTACTTATATCTACAGAGAAGTCAGTCTATACAGATATTTCTTATATCTACTTGTTACAGGAACAGGTCAGTCTATACAGATAGTACTTATTAGATAGTAACTAGATCAGGCATCTGGACACAGATAGTACTTATATCTACCTGTTACTGGGAGAGGTTAGTCTATACAGGTAGTACTTATATCTACGTGTTACACAGAGAAGTCAGTCTATGCAGATGGGACTTATATCTACTTGTTACAGGGCCAGTTCAGTCTATACAGATAGTACTAAGATCTACTTGTTACAGGGAGAAATCAGTCTATAAAGGTAGAACTTATATCTACTTGTTTCACAGAGAAGTCAGTCTATACAGATAGAACTTATATCTACTTGTTTCACAGAGAAGTCAGTCTATACAGATATTTCTTATATCTACTTGTTACAGGAACAGGTCAGTCTATACAGATAGTACTTATTAGATAGTAACTAGATCAGGCATCTGGACACAGATAGTACTTATATCTACCTGTTACTGGGAGAGGTTAGTCTATACAGGTAGTACTTATATTTACTTGTTACAGGGAGGTCAGTCTATATAGATAGTACTTATATCTACTTGATACAGGGAGGTCAGTCTATACATGTAGTACTTATATCTACTTGTTACACGAAGAAGTCAGTCTATACAGGTAGTTCTTATATCTACTTGTTACACAGAGAAGTCTGTCTATACAGATAGTACTTATTAGATAGTAACTAGATCAGGCATCTAGACACAGATAGTCCTTATATCTACTTGATACAGGGAGGTCAGTCTATACAGATAGTACTAAGATCTACTTGTTACAGGGAGAAGTCAGTCTCTACAGATAGTACTTATATCTACTTGTTACACGGAGAAGTCAGTCTTTACAGGTAGTACTTATATCTACTTGTTACACAGAGAAATCAGTCTATACAGGTAGTACTTATATCTACTTGTTACAGGGACAGGTCAGTCTATACAGATAGTACTTATATCTACTTGATACAGGGAGGTCAGTCTATACAGGTAGTACTAATATCTACTTGTTACAGGGAGAAGTCAGTCTATACAGATAGAACTTATATCTACTTGTTACAGGGACAGGTCAGTCTATACAGGTAGTACTTATATATACTTGTTACAGGGACAGGTCAGTCTATACAGATAGTACTTATATCTACTTGTTACACGAAGAAGTCAGTCTATACAGGTAGTACTAATATCTACTTGTTACAGGGAGAATTCAGTCTATACAGATAGAACTTATATCTACTTGTTACAGGGACAGGTAAGTCTATACAGGTAGTACTTATATCTACTTGTTACACAGAGAAGTCAGTCTATACAGATAGTACTTATATCTACCTGTTACAGGGAGAAGTCAGTCTATACAGATAGTACTTTTATCTACTTGTTACAGGGAGAAGTCAGTCTCTACAGATAGTACTTATATCTACTTGTTACAGGGAGAAGTCAGTCTATACAGGTAGTACTCATATTTACTTGTTACAGGGAGGTCAGTCTATACAGATAGTACTTATATCTACTTGTTACAGGGAGGTCAGTCTATACAGGTAGTACTTATATTTACTTGTTACAGGGAGGTCAGTCTATACATGTAGTACTTATATCTACTTGTTACAGGGAGAGGTCAGTCTATACAGATAGTACTTATATCTACTTGTTAAAGGGAGAAGTGAGTCTATACAGATAGTACTTATATCTACTTGTTACAGGGAGAAGTCAGTCTATACAGATAGTACTTATATCTACTTGTTAAAGGGAGGTCAGTCTATACAGGTAGTACTTATATTTACTTGTTACAGGGAGGTCAGTCTATACATGTAGTACTTATATCTACTTGTTACAGGGAGAAGTCAGTCTATACAGATAGTACTTATATCTACCTGTTACAGGGAGAGGGAGAAGTCAGTCTATACAGATATTTGTTACAGGGAGAAGTCAGTTTACACACAGATATAAAGATGGTACTTATATGATAGATGTCATCACAGGAAGTGAACATTGTTTCACTAGCATTCAGTAGAATAGACCATTACCACGGATACGTACCTGGTGAGGTCAAGGACTCCATGGAAGTAGCTGATGTTGGAGACAAGATGCGATTTTCCGTAGATGGCCGTAGTTTCTCCTTTTTAGACCGGCTCACTTCTTGTAACATGTTCAGTAGGTATGCCTTATCACGTCCTTCCTACCACAGGTAAACCATAAGGGACATTTTAGGATTTCTACATAAACATTATCATTATTGTCTAAAATGCAAGTTTATTTAGTCTAAAGGTAATAAATTACACATCACAGTTCAAATCTAAGGCTAACTAAACTAACACCCTCCCAACCCAACAGAAACTCATTAGAGAATCATATCTTGTAAAGACCTTACTGCTGCATTGATAAGACCTTACCATTGCTAACTGTTGTCGCAGAAGTTTGACCATTTCTTTGTGGCCCACCATTACAATCCTCATGTAGTAGGTTCCAACACTGACAAAAAGACAAGGTAAAATGTCTTATATGTGTCACACAAATACCAAACACTGACAAAGAGACACGGTAAAATGTCTTATATGTGTCACACAAATACCAAACACTGACAAAGAGACACGGTAAAATGTCTTATATGTGTCACACAAATACCAAACACTGACAAAGAGACACGGTAAAATGTCTTATATGTGTCACACAAATACCAAACACTGACTAAGAGACACGGTAAAATGTCTTATATATGTCACACAAATACTAAACACTGACAAAGAGACACAGTAAAATGTCTTATATGTGTCACACAAATACCAAACACTGACAAAGAGAAATGGTAAAATTCCTTATATGTGTCACACAAATACCAAACACTGACTAAGAGACACGGTGAAATGTCTTATATATGTCACACAAATACTAAACAATGACAAAGAGACACAGTAAAATGTCTTATATGTGTCACACAAATACCAAACAATGACAAAGAGACAAGGTAAAATGTCTTATATGTGTCACACAAATACTAAACACTGAGAAAGAGACACGGTAAAATGTCTTATATGTGTCACACAGATACCAAACACTGACAAAGAGACAAGGTAAAATATAGTATATGTGTCACACAAATACTAAACACTGAGAAAGAGACATGGTAAAATGTCTTACATGTGTCACACAAATACCAAACACTGACAAAGAGAAATGGTAAAATTTCTTATATGTGTCACACAAATACCAAACACTGACAAAGAGACAAGGTAAAATGTCTTATATGTGTCACACAAATACTTAACACTGACAAAGAGACACGGTAAAATGTCTTATATGTGTCACACAAATACTATACACTGACAAAGTTAAAGGTAACATGCCATGGATACAGTAAAAGGTCACATGCCTCAGATATTTAGTAAAAGTTCACATTCCTCAGATACAGTATAAGGTCAAATTCCTCAGATACAGTATAAGGTCACATTCCTCAGATACAGTATAATGTCTCATGTCTCAGATACAGTTAAAGTCCACATGCCATGGATATAGTAAAAGGTCACATGTCTTATATACAGTTAAAGGCCACATGCCATGGATACAATATAAGGTCACATTCCTCAGATACAGTTGAAGGCAACATGCCATGGATACAGTAAAAGGTCACATTCCTCAGATACAGTTAAAGGCCACATTTCTCAGATACAGTATAAAGTCAGATTCCTCAGATACAGTTAAAGGTCACATTCCTCAGATACAGTTAAAGGTTACATTTCTAAGATAAGTTAAAGGTCACATTCATCAGATACAGTATAAAGTCACATTCCTCAGATACAGTATAATGTCACATGTCTCAGATACAGTTAAAGGCCACATTTCTCAAATACAGTATAAAGTCAGATTCCTCAGATACAGTAAAAGGTCACATTCCTTAGATACAGTTAAAGGTCACATTCCTAAGATACAGTTAAAGGTCACATTCCTCAGATACAGTTGAAGGTTACATTTCTCAGACACAGTTAAAGGTCACATTCCTCAGATACAGTATAAAGTCACATTCCTCAGATACAGTATAAAATCACATTCCTCAGATACAGTTAAAGGTCACATTCCTCAGATACAGTGAATTGTCACATTCCTCAGATACAGTTAAAGGTCACATTCCTCAGATACAGTTAAAGGTCACCTTTCTCAGATGCAGTGAATGGTCACATTCCTCAGATGCAGTATAAAGTCACATTCCTCAGATACAGCATAAAGCCACATTCCTCAGATACAGTTAAAGGTCACATTCCTCAGATACAGTATAAAGTGTATAAAGTCACATTTCTCAGATACAGTATAAAGTTACATTTCTCAGATAGAGTATAAAGTCACATTCCTCAGATACAGTTAAAGGTCACATTCCTAAGATACAGTTAAAGGTCACATCCCTCAGATGCAGTATAAAGTCACATTCCTCAGATAAAGTATAAAGTCACATTCCTCAGATAAAGTATAAAGTCACATTCCTCAGATACAGTATAAAGTGTATAAAGTCAGATTCCTCATATACAGTATAAAGTCTGATTCCTCAGATACAGTATAAAGTTCACATTCGTAAGATACAGACAGTATAAAGTCACTTTCCTCAGATACAGTTAAAGGACACATTCCTTAGATACAGTATAAAGTTTATAAAGTCAGATTCCTCATATACAGTATAAAGTTCACATTCCTAAGATACAGACAGTATAAAGTCACTTTCCTCAGATACAGTTAAAGGACACATTCCTTAGATACAGTATACAGTGTATAAAGTCAGATTCCTCATATACAGTATAAAGTCTGATTCCTCAGATACAGTATAAAGTGTATGAAGTCAGATTCCTCATATACAGTATAAAGTCACATTCCTCAGATACAGTATAAAGTGTATAAAGTCAGATTCCTCATATACAGTATAAAGTCTGATTCCTCAGATACAGTATAAAGTCACATTCCTCAGATACAGTTAAAGGTCACATTCCTCAGATACAGTATAAAGTGTATAAAGTCAGATTCCTCATATACAGTATAAAGTTCACATTCCTAAGATACAGACAGTATAAAGTCACATTCCTCAGATACAGTTAAAGGTCACATTCCTCAGATACAGTATAAAGTCACATTCCTCAGATACAGTATAAAGTCTGATTCCTCAGATACAGTATAAAGTCACATCCCTCAGATACAGTTAAAGGTTACATTTCTCAGATACAGTTAAAGGTCACATCCCTCAGATACAGGATAAAGTCACATTCCTCAGATACAGCATAAAGCCACATTCCTCAGATACAGTTAAAGGACACATCCCTCAGATACAGTTAAAGTTCACATCCCTCAGATACAGTATAAAGTCACATTCTTCAGATACAGTTAAAGGTCACATTCTAAAGGTCACATTCCTCAAATACAGTTAAAGGTTACATTTCTCAGATACAGTTAAAGGTCACATCCCTCAGATACAGTTAAAGGTCACATCCCTCAGACATCACAAGTATCACTGCTGAATATATATCAGACACAAGGTCTATTTCTTTACCATGGTAATTTATGAAGTTTTTCAACTAGGTTTCTGTTTCTAATGTTAGAAAGGATCTCAAGTATTCCACATAGGAACCTAGTGTACTAACCTGAAAGCAACCAAAACACTGGCAATGAAACCTGGAGAAGAGACGAGTTTAAAGATTTGATGTAGCCAGTCCAGGTCCCCCTCCCAACTGTCAACCAGGGTGGTCACAATGTCGTAGGCCTGCTCCTGGCCCTGGAAGGGACCACAAGTTTCGCTGGGGGGCACGCTGGTAATCAACAAATACATAAATAAGGAGTGGTCACAATAAACTGCTACAACATCCTAAATGTTATGTACATCCATTCCCTGAACTTCATCACCCTGGATATCTAAATGTAATGTACATCCATTCCCTGAACTTCATTACCCTGGATATATAAATGTAATGTTCATCCATTCCCTGAACTTCATCACCCTGGATATCTAAATGTAATGTAGATCCATTCCCTGAACTTCATTGCCCTGGATATATAAATGTAATGTTCATCCATTCCCAGAACTTCATGACCCTGGATATCTAAATGTAATGTACATCCGTTCCCTGAACTTCATCAACCTGGATATCTAAATGTAATGTACATCCATTCCCAGAACTTCATTACCCTGGATATCTAAATGTAATGTACATCCGTTCCCTGAACTTCATCACCCTGGATATCTAAATGTAATGTACATCCATTCCCTGAACTTCATTACCCTGGATATCTAAATGTAATGTACATCCATTCCCTGAACTTCATCACCCTGGATATCTAAATGTTATGTACATCCATTCCCTGAACTTCATTACCCTGGATATCTAAATGTTATGTACATCCATTCCCTGAACTTCATTACCCTGGATATCTAAATGTTATGTACATCCATTCCCTGAACTTCATTACCCTGGATATCTAAATGTTATGTACATCCATTCCCTGAACTTCATTACCCTGGATATCTTGCATCTGTTTGTTACGGACCACCATTTGCAATAGATTAGTGGAGACATATGAACTACAGCATAAGGCTACCTAAAAGTGAGCAAATGGTTCCAGGTAAAATAAAATAATGTATGGATGAATATACTTTCAGCAAGAATATAAAGGCAGTTGTTTGCCTTTTCTCAATAGCACGATTACACAAAACAAACAGCTATATATTCGCAGACAAATATGGTAAGAAAATCTATGAATAGTCAGTATGAACAGAGTGCCAGACGAATACTTACAGCAACACACCATAAGATACAGCAACAACTGCCAGGAGGAAGAAAATGAAGAGATATCCGAGGAAGATTGTGTGACTCTTCGCCGCTCTCCATGCTCTCACAGAAGGTTTACAGTTCTGTAGAACACTGACAGCTTTTATATAAAATATGATGAATAACTTGATGCTCATGATGAATGACAGCAAGGGGGAGTAAAACGTGCCCAGCCTGAAACAATGTCAGTATAAAAGGTAATTACATTTTTTATACAAAAACTATCATCAGACACTTGTACCAAAATTAAAGTTAGCTAAGACTTATGTAGATATGTCTATATACACACATGCTTTATAACCAACCATCTGCTCTAGCCCCTGAGGTAGCTGTGTTATAACAGCTAGCCCCTGAGGTAGCTTTGTTATAACAGCTAGCCCCTGAGGTAGCTTTGTTATAACAGCTAGCCCCTGAGGTAGCTGAGTTATAACAGCTAGCCCCTGTGTTAGCTGTGGAAAATCTGCGCTAGCCCCTGAGGTAGCTGTGGAATAACAGCTTGCCCCTGAGATAGCTGTGTTATAACAGCTAGACCCTGTGTTAGCTGTGGAATATCAGCTAGCCCCTGAGGGAGCTGTGAAATAACAGCTAGCCACTGAGGTAGCTGTGTTATACAGCTGGCCACTGAGGTAGCTGTGGAATAACAGCTAGCCCTTGAGGTAGCTGTGTTATAACAGCTATCCCCTGAGGTAGCTGTGTTATAACAGCTTGCCCCTGATGTAGCTGTGGAATAACAGCTAGCCCCTGAGGTAGCTGTGTTATAACATCTAACCCCTGAGGTAGCTGTGTTATAACAGCTAACCCCTGAGGTAGCTGTTTTATAACAGCTAACCCCTGAGGTAGTTGTGCAATATCAGCTAGCCCCTGAGGTAGCTGGGGAATATCAGCTAGCCACTGAGGTAGCTGTGTAATAACAGCTAGCCCCTGAGGTACATGTGCCATAACAGCTAGCCCCTGAGGTAGCTGTGTTATAACAGCTTGCCCCTGAGGTATCTTTGGAATAGCAGCTAGCCCTGGAGGTAGCTGTGTTATAACAGCTATCCCCTGAGGTAGCTTTGTTATAACAGCTAGCCCCTGAGGTAGCTGCGTTATAACAGCTAACCCCTGAGGTAGCTGTGTTATAACAGGTAACCCCTGAGGTAGCTGTGTTATAACAGCTAGCCACTGAGGTAGCTGTGTTATAACAGCTAGCCACTGAGGTAGCTGTGTTATAACAGCTAGCCCCTGTGTTAGCTGTGGAATATCAGCTAGCCCCTGAGGTAGCTGTGGAATATCAGCTAGCCACTGAGGTAGCTGTGTTATAACAGCTAGCCACTGAGGTAGCTGTGTTATACAGCTAGCCACTGAGGTAGCTGTGGAATAACAGCTAGCCCCTGAGGTAGCTGTGGAATAACAGCTAGCCACTGAGGTAGCTGTGTTATAACAGCTTGCCCCGAAGGTAGCTGTGTTATAACAGCTAGCCCCTGTGTTGGCTGTGGAATAACAGCTTGCCCCGGAGGTAGCTGTGTTATAACAGCTAGCCACTGAGGTAGATGTGATATAACAGCTAGCCACTGAGGTAGATGTGGAATAACTGAAGTTTTGGCCAGCTCTTTATCTCCATATGAACATTGAACATTCTCAACATTAGCTTTACAGTACATCATCAGATATTTACATTTCAACAGAGAATTATACATGGAAAAACAAAGTGTTTTGGTCATCCTCTGCATTATAGATCTAGATGTCACTCCTTTAACAATGTCTCAGCTGTGGCTACATATATTAACACAATGACATACTGATCTACTGGTAACTGTTTGTTACCCGATCTCAATAGCCAGTTACTTTATTTTGAGGATTATTTTGATAACACTCTTTGCCCTTTTATCAATGATTCTTTGTGGTGCATGTCCAAATATGTGTGGTTGGTATACATACCAACACAATGCCTGAGAGTAAATCAGGTCCAACGTGTTCCTGCCAATGTCAAACTCTGTATCCCCTAACCGTTTACAGCAGTACTGACCCAACAATCTATAGGTAAAACATACAGGTAAAACATATACGTAAAACATAAAGGTAAAACATACAGGTAAAACATACAGGTAAAGCATATAGGTAAAACATATAGGTAAAACAAACATATAAAACATACAGGTAAAACATGTTGGTAAAACATATAGTAAAACATAAAGGTAAAACATACAGGTAAAACATATAGGTAAAACAAACATATAAAACATACAGGTAAAACATATAGTAAAACAAACAAACAAACAGGTAAAACATATAGTAAAACATACAGGTAAAGCATACAGGTAAAACATATAGTTAAAACATATAGGTAAAACAAACATTTAAAACAAACAGGTAAAACAAACAGGTAAAACATAAAGGTAAAACATATATGTAAAACAAACAGGTAAAACATGTCGGTAAAACATGCAGGTAAAACATGCAGGTAAAACATATAGGTAAAACACATAGGTAAAACATGTCGGTAAAACATATAGGTAAAACATATACGTAAAACAACATATACGTAAAACAAACAGGTAAAGCATATAGGTAAAACAAACAGGTAAAACAAACAGGTAAAACATACAGGTAAAACATACAGGTAAAACAAACAGGTAAAACATTGTCATCAGCACAAAAAATGTACAGATCATTAATTATGAAATTAAATGTATTAAGAGAATTATTGTTTAACTTCAAGTTAACTTGTTAATTTCACTTACCGACGAATAAATTCCAGAAAAAATGTGCTAATCAAAGTGAAGACAAAGTCTACCAGCACTAGACGGTAAATATCTTCCCCCAGAGATGTCTCCCAACAGGGCTGTAAGACAAAGGTATGCTTGCGTAAACAGTTTACTGGTTATCAGGTTTTCAGTATACAATGAAATCTGCCAAATGACAGACCTACCAAATAAAGTGGTTTACACAAGTTTTCAGAATACAGAATTGGCTTACAGCACTATTTGTAGTCATATTTACAATCAGAAAATATCTTTATTGGTAGTTGATAAAATAACAAGTTCATGTCACAGGGCCGATTACTTTTAATTCTGTGGATGTGACAGCTTTTCTGGCGAGGAAAGTATTGTCACATTTGTGTTAACTTCAACTACACATGTGAGCTTTCCATTTTTACAATTACAAGCGACAAACATTTTTCGTAACTACATGGGTCAAAACAATTCACAAATTGTTAGGGTGTTCTTACTTCATCTTCTTTTGTTGCTCTGTTGAACCAAAAATAGGCCAGTACACCCAGTATGGCTGCCTTCAGCAACATTGTCCTGTAAAAATATAACATACAGATGAAACATGACAGTAATACATGCACAACTAACTAAACTCAAGCACAATCTTCAAATATTTAGACATTATATTGAGGTTTCTGCTTTAGGACAGACATTTTATAGTAAAAATTGATTATTTCGTCCTAAATATACCTGGTAGTGTTGTTGTTCATGGTCTACCTACCTTGTCATCCCCACATACAACTCGGTCTGTGGTTTCTGGTAGTTCTCTAATTTCCCTATCCTTGTGAAGAAAAAGGGCAGCACAAGGATGATTCCCGTGGCAACCAAGGGCATGGCCAACTTTCCAAGGATTACGATACTGTTCTGAGAGAGAACGGTTTGGTTATAGGTATTTAATATTAATCATACTGTAGACAATGATAGTGGCTAAAGGGCATTTCATATTTTGCAATCCATCTTACGGGTCATATGGAGATTTCCCTACAACAGACGTATTTTTTTTTAACTATTCAATAAAAGAAAAAAGAGGTTTCTGATATTTCAGGACCAATAATGGCTTATTGGGATTTGGTTGCCATTACATTCATGGAACTGCATGATCAAATGAAAATATTTCGGGTTCTTTTCTCAAATTATTGATGAAAATCCCTCCATTAATAAAAAAAGGAAAAAGGAGAACAATTTTCAATTTTCCTCTATTTCCCCTGTTGGACCTCACATGCACCCCTTTATACAAATTAAACAAATTGAGGTTTTTTTCCCCCTAAGCATGCTTCAGACCACGTTTGGTTTATACAAAACTGAGAACCCTTTGGCCAATGATGCTCCAGACAAAATTTGGTCAAAATCCTCTGAGCCGTTAAGGACTAGTAGCGTTTTAAAGGAAAAAGTTGACAGATGCCGGACGCTGCGCCATAGCATAAGCTCACTTGGCCCTTTGGGCCAGGTGAGCTAAAAATATGCTCCAGTTATTTCCCTTTTTATTTGACATTTTCACCTTCTTCAACACACCTTAATATAATCGGTGTCCTGGATGTAGTATATACAATAAGCTGAACCTCCTATGCTCCCAAGCACGATGAGGTTGGTAATGACTCGTAAAAAAAACCATTTACACTTTGTAGAGAAATCCCGGTTGGCACCATCCAACTTTTTCCCAGACAAAAATTCCTGAAATAGAGACAAAATCAAATACTGTAAAGCAACTTATTTTGTTTTTTTAAGTTTCCTCAAAATTGGTTTTAAGAAATATAGTCATTACAGGGATGACCTTTGACCAAACTTACCCATGTTTCAAAGCTGTCTAAGGTATGTCAAAGGTTAACGTAACCGTAAAGTTCCATAAAAATCTGTCCAGAAATAGAGCCACTTGAGTGACAACAAGGAGTGTGATCGACAGATTACACCCCACTTGGTGTAGTAGAAATAAAGCAACGCAAAGCTACTGTACGTGTTACTTAGCACAGTCAAATTTTAGTGCTTGGACATACTAGCATAATAGGGCTGTCAGGTGAGAATTAACATGAATCAGTAACAATGCTCACAGTATATAGATAAGAGTTGATGATGTGATAACAACATAACAGCCAGGATTTTCACACTGTAATGAAGTGATTTCTCCTTCAAATGTATAAGGTAGGGAAAATAAATTTTGAGCAAAAACACTTTGTTATATAAGAAAATAACAGTTTTATTGGTTTGTTGTATTGTTTTACAAGCTTCCTTATGAATTATTCCCTTTGACTTACCTTGATTTCATTAAAGAAACTTTTGTGTTGAAGTCGGGCCGCATCTGGGGAGGTGATGTTATAGTCCCAGCTACAGAAAACCTTAGTGACAATGTAGAAATTAAACACTCCACTCGCCTCAATGTAATTTTTTTTGTAGGACCTGGAGATGCTGGAAATACAAAAAAAAAATAATCAAAACATAAAGTTAACAATAAACATCAAGTTAACAATGCGTTTAGCAAGAAAGTACTGAGCTTTTCCTAAACTACCACACACAATACCAGTGATACAGCACTACCACACACAATACCAGTGATACAGCACTACCACACACAATACCAGTGATACAGCAGTTAAAGTACTGAGCTTTTCCTAAACTACCACACAAAATATTGATCACTACCTACCTTAGTGCCAGGATGATCAGATACAGTATGTTGTAGAGTTACCTACCTTAGTGCCAGGATGATCCGACACAGTATGTTGTAGAGTTACCTACCTTTGTGCCAGGATGATCAGACACGGTATGTTGTAGACTGACCTACCTTAGTGCCAGGATGATCAGACACGATATGTTGTAGAGTGACCTACCTTAGTACAAGGATGATCAGACTCGGTATGTTGTAGAGTTACCTACCTTAGTGCCATGATTATCAGACACGGAATGTTGTCGAGTGACCTACCTTAGTGCCAGGATAATCAGACACGGTATGTTGTAGAGTTACCTGCCTTAGTGCCAGGATGATCAGACACGGTATGTTGTATAGTGACCTACCTTAATGCCAGGATGATCAGACACAGTATGTTGTAGAACTACCTACCTTAGTGCCAGGATGATCAGATACATGATGTTGTAGAGTTACCAACCTTAGTGCCAGCATGATCAGACATGAGATGTTGTAGAGTTACCTACCTTAGTGCCAGGATGTTCAGACACGGTATGTTGTAGAGTTACCTACCTTGGTGCCAGGATGATCAGACACGGTATGTTGTATAGTGACCTACCTTAATGCCAGGATGATCAGACACAGTATGTTGTAGAGTTACCTACCTTAGTGCTAGGATGATCAGACATGAGATGTTGTAGAGTTACCTACCTTAGTGCCAGGATGTTCAGACACGGTATGTTGTAGAGTTACCTACCTTTGTGCCAGGATGATCAGACACGGTATGTTGTAGAATTACCTACCTTAGTGCCAGGATGATCAGACACAGTATGTTGTAGAACTACCTACCTTAGTGCCAGGATGATCAGATACATTATGTTGTAGAGTTACCAACCTTAGTGCCAGGATGATCAGACACGAGATGTTGTAGAGTTACCTATCTTAGTGCCAGGATCTTCAGACACGGTATGTTGTAGAGTTACCTACCTTAGTGCCACGATGATCAGACACGGTATGTTGTCGAGTGACGTACCTTAGTGCCAGGATGATCAGACACGGTATGTTGTAGAACTACCTACCTTAGTGCCAGGATGATCAGACACGATATGTTGTAGAGTGACCTACCTTAGTGCCAGGATGATCAGACACGATATGTTGTAGAGTGACCTACCTTAGTACAAGGATGATCAGACTCGGTATGTTGTAGAGTTACCTACCTTAGTGCCATGATGGTCAGACACGGTATGTTGTCGAGTGACCTACCTTTGTGCCGGGATGATCAGACACGGTATGTTGTAGAGTTACCTACCTTAGTGCCATGATGATCAGACACGGTATGTTGTCGAGTGACCTACCTTAGTGCCAGGATGATCAGACACGGTATGTTGTAGAGTTACTTACCTTAGTGCCAGGATGATCAGACACGGTATGCTGTAGAGTGACCTACCTTAGTGCCAGGATGATCAGATATGAGATGTTGTAGAGTGACCTACCTTAGTGCCAGGATGATCAGACACAGGATGTAGTATCCCCCTCCAGTGAGAAGATAAGCGTATTTCATGTTGTACTCGGTATCCCCCACTACCTGTACAATACCATTGGTGTAATACCCATAGTACAGTATAGTATTGGTAAAATAACCCTGCAATGGAAAGTTTATGTATTAAACCTTTGTTTTTCTTTTGCAAGTTTCTTTTATTTTCCTTTCCACAAAGCAACATGTCATATACAAATAATTTGTTCAATAAGTCCTTAGTCACAATCGATTTCATTAAGAACAGGCTGAAATCTTGTTATATTTTAAGGATCCTCGTCCCAGCCAGAGCAAAACATTACAAGATTTCCACTGTCGTTTTTCAGTGTTAGAGTCACCTGCCCCTGATTACCATGTCGACAATGTTGTTATCTTCCCTTGAATATATTTCGTTTGAATAACGTTTCGACTACAGAGTTGAGTCCCTTGCATTGTAAATCTCCAATCGCGAAAGTGTGGGTAAAAAAAGCTGTCGTAACAATGTAAACAACGTCGTGGCAGTGATGGCAAACCCGACGTAAAATCGGCTGTTTTAAATGTAAACTAAACGCATTAACTGACAATTATAACAACAACGATGTCCAATATCAACTGCTAGACCACGACTATGCGACGAACCAAAGTGACACTCGTTCACACATTGAAGAGACGCTGGCTACTGAGGCCCCTATACTAAGCTTACTGGCAATTTAACTGATGAGCCGACACCGACGTCCGATGAGGATCCCTCCAGTACTAGTGATCACGGATACGTCAATAACTTTTTAACCTGGTCGCAGGGTAGACGAGTGGTTGAACTTGCGATGTTATCTGAATACCTGGACCAGAAAAGTTGTAAGGAATGCGGTACTAGGCTACGGTTGTGCAATACCCGACAGGAGAGTTATTTTGGCCTGGGAAGTATTTTATACATCTCAATAGTCAGGATTATATTCTATATTTGTTATTACATGTATATACCCAATAGGCCTATATTTCAAGTTCATTTTTTATATTACATACAACAGTGTTATTTTTACAGTGTGATATTTTTATACCACAATATTGTATGTTGTTATTTGTACATAATGTAAAAGTTTATTATTGTTGTATAGTGTGATATTTTTCATATCACAATATGGTATGTTGTTATCTGTACATAATATGAAAGTTTATTATTGCTTTGTTCAGAATGTAAAAGTTTATCATTGTTTTGTTCAGAATGTAAAAGTTTATTATTGTTGTATATATAACATGATTTTTTTATATCACAACATGATATGTCATTTGCTTATTATGCAGAAATTTATTATTGTTGTGTAAAGAATGTGAAACTTTTTTATTGTTGTTCATTGTGACATTTTTGCTATGACACAGTAAAGTACATTGTTTGTTATAATGTTATTCATACACTATGTGCAGTTTTGTTTTATATTGGTTATTTAAAGTAATTTTAATGGTTGGTAATGCCTACTGTATTATATATTTGTATATAAAAAGTGCTATATTGTATGTTGTAAATTGTATATATGACTTTTTGGGATTTATAATTATTATTGTTACAAATGTAAGAGTTGTCTCTCTTTTTTGTTTAGTTTTTTTGTATCTTTATAATTTTTTGTATAATAAGTAGGTCTGCAAGATATTTATCTTTTTGTCACCTATATGTTGTCCTAAACGTGTTGCATTGGCACTCAGAATTTTATTGATTCATGTAACTGGCATTTTTGTTTGTTTTAGTATTATTGTTAGAAAATTACTCAGTTTTTTTGTGTTTTGTTCATCAATATTGACATTGATATTATTTTTATGTGTTTTATTTCTAATAAACTATTGTTGCATCAAATAAAATGGTTTTTTGTTTCATTTTGTTCCATTGAAAAAAAAACTCGAAAAAAAAACCTCGAAATTTCATAATATTCCAAACAAGAGGCCCATGGGCCTTAACGGTCACCCGAGTCCTACAGTATTTATTTTTGTTGTTGAAATATGTACAAATTTGAGTAAAAAATAGTTAAGTATAATGTTAACTTAACTTTGTCAGGACCATGAGCTGATCATTCCTAGACGGATTTTAATTGAGATCGGCCTATTAGAACTTGTTTTTAAGTTTGAAATAGTTTTTCAAAATGGCGGCCATGGTGGCCATATTGGATTTCTGATTGACCTGAAAAATAACAACACTTTGTCAGGACCATGAGTCGATCATTCCTACCAACTCTCAGTTCAATCTGCCCAGCAGAACTTGACTTTAAGTTTGAAATAGTTTTTCAAAATGGCGGCCGTGGCGGCCATATTGGATTTCTGATCGACCCGAAAAATAACAACACTTTGTCAGGACCATGAGGCGATCATTTCTACCAACTTTCAGTTCAATCGGCCCAGCAGAACTTGACTTCAAGTTTGAAATAGGTTTTCAAAATGGCGGCCGTGGCAGCCATATTGGATTTCTGATCGACCCGAAAAATAACAACACTTTGTCAGGACCATGAGGTGATCATTCCTACCAACTTTCAGTTCAATCGGCCGAGCAGAACTTGACTTTAAGTTTGAAATGTAAAATGTTAACGGACGACGGACGGCGGACGAAAACGGATAGCAATAGGTCACTTGAGCTAAAGCTCAGGTGATCTAAAAATCTGAAGAAACTACCGCAAGGTATGGGTTATTGTTCAGAAATGATTTGGTTATGCAATAGTGATGCACATAGAAAAAAAACCTAATACTCTTAACATTTTTAGGTGGAGGGACGGGGATCCTTAATACGTTAATGACTTTTTTAAAATATAGATTTTGTGATAACATTCATTTAAGAAGTAATTCTGCAGTAACAGATCTCATTCTTTAGATACTCACAGATCCGGTAAGCAGCTCCCTGCCTGTGAATGCTGCAGTAGTGGTGACAACTGGTGCCGTCGTGGTCACGTTTGTCATGTTATTAGCAGCAACTACTGCAGCTACAGCCTCTGCTGATGGTTGGAACTCTACATACACAATTTGGGGAATGACTATGAAGCATAGAGTCAGGAAAAATATGGGAATATTGAGAAGGAAGATCCACTTGAGGAACATGAAATAGGAGGTAACACCAGTGCCGAAGTGGCCCTCAATCTTCTTTGTCAGACTCCTCCACAGCTCCAGGGAGTAGGCAAGTTCAGCCAAGCGGTACTTGAAGTGCATCCAGCCCTGTACAGTTACATACTTTTAGTACTTCAAGCATACAGCAATGAGAAAGTTCTGTACTATATATACCAATTTCAACTTTATTCTTTAACATGCTGTTAACTATTTGATTATATTAAGGTTCAGAGAACAAGATATGTTCCAGTATATTTTGTAATAAAACAACTATATAAAATAAAAGCTGATGTTAACATGTTCATTAGATAGAATCTAAAATAAATTGTATTATGTGTTGAACAAGCTTTTATCATTTCCCACAGATTGATGTTAAGATTTCAGTACGTAAACAGGTATTTACAATTCCAATGCTGTACTTGGTCCTCTTCCACCAGCCCGGCCTACGGCTTTGTATGCCTCGTTTTAATGTACGCTGACGGGAATTTGAAATATTGTTCCTGTAAAATAGAAAAAAGACAAAATGCCTCTGTACATCAGATGCCAGTTTGCAATTCAGCCAATAAGAAGCCATATGGCGGTGACCATTTTTTATTCTTAGACACACAAAAACTAACTACACTTTTCTCGGCCATGATAAGGAACAATTGTTCAAAATTTAGAAAGACTCAGGTTAGAGGTTCTTAAGAGGAAGATGAAAGTGTTCAATTGTTTCTATAGACAATGGAAAACAGAAGAGGACAAAGACGGAAAGCAACAGCTCACATGATCAATAATGTCAGCTAAAAATAGTTACACAACAACGAAATTTACATCAAGACAGCAGGTACTATAAACAAACTGAATACAAACATATATAACAAACAGACATGTACACAACAATGAAATTTAAAAGAAAATACTGCGGACAGATATGCACATTTAAGTTGAACACAAACATTGATTAATACATTTCCCCATAAGACACACATTGCTAACAGATAATATTATTGCTGATGGACATATACTGACAGACAATATTATTGCTGATGGACATATGCTGACAGACAATATTATTGCTGACAGATATATGCTGACATACATTGCTGACATACATTGCTGACAGACATATGCTGACAGACATACCTAAAAGACATTTGCTGACACACATTGCTGAGAGACATTGCTGACAGACATATGCTGACAGACATTGCTGACATACATTGCTGACAGACATATGCTGACATACATTGCTGAGAGACATTGCTGACATACATTGCTGACAGACATTTGCTGACATACATTGCTGACAGACATTTGCTGACATACATTGCTGACAGACATTGCTGACATACATATGCTGACATACATTGCTGACAGACATTGCTGACATACATTGCTGACAGACATTACTGACAGACATATGCTGACAGACCTTGCTGACAAACATTGCTGACAGATATATGCTGACAGACACTGCTGACAGACATATGTTGACAGACATTTCTGACAGATATATGCTCACATACATTGCTGACAGACATATGCTCACATACATTGCTGAGAGACATATGCTGACAAAATTGCTGACAGATATATGCTCACATACATTGCTGACAGACATATGCTCACATACATTGCTGACATACATTACTCACAGACATTTGCTGACATACATTGCTGACATACATTGCTCACAGACATTTGCTGACATACATTGCTGACAGATATATGACCACCATTTGTAGAGTATACTTATAATTCACGTTCACTATGATCTTGATCTACATATGAATACACAAAAAAGATGATTTCAGTATAACTTCTAACACCCTTTGCAGATTATACTTATAATTCAAAATTAATCAGGATAACAAACATGACCATAATGCAAGTTAAAGAGAATAATCATAACAAGAGTTACGTAAAGCGGTACATGATACACCCGTCAGATGTCGAATGAGCAGTTTGCCACAAAGGGCCATAAGTGCATGAAGTTATTGGGCAGAAATTGTGTTCCGACAATTCTACAAAAGACTGTAAGTCTGTAAATTATGGCTGAAGTTTGAAATTAATCCATTCAAAATTTCTCAAGTTATTGAGCGGAAAGTGTTACATCAATTCTATAAAGGGCCATTGCTCCCTTAATAACAGGCGGATAATGGTTATGGAACTTGTGCAAACTTTCATAGAAATGATCCTTCCTATGAAGTTTGAAATTAATCCATTCAAAATTACTCAAGTAATTGAGCGGAAACTGTTTCGACAATTCTACTAAGGGCCATAACTCCGTAAATAACCGGCAAATAATTTTGGTTATCGCAAGCTTTTATAGAAATGAACCTTCCTATGAAGTTTGAAATGAATAAATTCAAAATTACTGAAGTTATTGAGTGGAAAGTGTTACATCAATTCTATAACAGGCCATAACTCCCCTAATAACAGGCAGATAATGGTCATGGAACTTGCGCAAGCTTTCATAGAAATTAATCTTCTTATGAAGTTTGAAATGAATCTATTCCAAATTACTGAAGTTATTGAGCGGAAACTGTTTCGGCAATTCTACAAAGGGTCATAACTCCGTAAATAACCGGCGAATAATTTTGGTTATCGAATAAGTCCGAGCTTTTTTAGCAATGAACCATCCTATGAAGTTTGAAATTAATCCATTCAACGGGCGTATAAAAAGGTTAAACAAAAGCAACAAGATATAGCAAACAAGCATCATTGGGGTACAGTTATGGGACAAATAGGCCATGTCAGATTACTACAGATGATCATTACCTTTCCTGGCACAGGGATCATTTATAGGCAAAAAGGAATGGAAATGCGAAGTTTAAGGTTCAAATATTAATATCATGATCAGATATATAATTTTTATTAAGATTAAACAACGCATTAATTACTATGATATGTGTGCTGGAATATTTCCTTGTAAAACTAAACAGTCAGTGTGTAAAACATACTGCAGGATTTAATTGTGGTGTAAATGTTGTACAGTATATCTACATGACAATTGTTAGGCTGCATCCTTCTCGTTACTTCAATAAATATATTAACAATTTACATACATGCTATATAAGGAGTTACACGTTAAGATTACCTCTATTCCACTGTCTAACCTGATCTCCTTTTTGTCTGTGAGTTTGACAGCCATATCCCGCAGCACCTCCGTAGTCCTGGTCTCCCCATCAAACTCATCCATCAAATCCGGGTCACGTGATAGTGAGGCTGCTAGGTCATTGTAGTCATGGTGTCCCCTCACCGTCCCATGGAAAGACTTCTTACTCTTCTTCCTTCGTATAGTGCCTTTAGCTACATCACTTGCTATTTGCTCTGTAATTCAAATTCAAGTAGAAAAGTAGAATCATTTCTTAACCCTCAACTTTCAATACAAAAATACTGTTAACTGTAATCATCAACTTTAGAAATCAGAAGTTAAGCATGCTGTTGCATAGGAACATTTCAAAAATCAAACCCGATTGTACTATTGTTAGATCAGTATCTTTGTCACGACAGGATGTAGGAGGTGTGGACAGGATACCTGATCTTAACATGATGTAGGAGGTGTGGACAGGATACCTGATCTTAACACGATGTAGGAGGTCTGGACAGGTTACCTGATCTTAACATGATGTAGGAGGTGTGGACAGGATACCTGATCTTAACACGATGTAGGATCCGGAGGTAAACATGAGCTAACCATGCATGATGTAAGATCCGGAAGTAAACATGAACTAACCATGCATGATGTAGGATCCGGAAGTAAACATGAACTAACCATGTATGATGTAGGATCCTGAGGTAATCATGAGCTAACCATGCATGATGTAGGATCCGGAGGTAAACATGAACTAACCATGCATGATGTAGGATCTGGAGGTAAACATGAACTAACCATGCATGATGTAGGATCCAGAGGTAAACATGAGCTAACCATGCATGATGTAGGATCCGGAGGTAAACATGAACTAACCATGCATGTTTACTTACCTAATTGTCTACTTGGTAGTTCATTTATGAGATCAGTAGCATCCCTTTGATTATCTGCTGCCCAGTTACGACGACTTCCTCTGGCATGTAAATACCTCACATCTTCCTCCCCACCATTTCTATCTTCTAAATCCTGGATACCAGAATGCATGTCTATCACATAAGGCGGGCGACCATTGTCTGCATGGGTTGGCTCTGTATATCCAGGGTTGACTGAAATGATAGGAGGTTGAAATAGCTCCTGTTATTTGTGAAGTTGACTCACCTTTTCCTTCCAGTAATTACAGACAGCACTGACCCTTTCTAAATCTTAATATCAGAGTCTCCGCAGCCTTTAGTGTTGTTAACAGAGGTTCCACTGAAAGTCTCCACAGCCTTTAGTGTTATTAACAGAGGTTCCACTGAAAGTCTCCGCAGCCTTTAGTGTTGTTAACAGAGGTTCCACTGATCTATTGTTCATCATGTTTATCTAACTCAATTTAATTGATTTTTCAAATTTTGAATTTTAAAACCTTTTTAAAACAATTATTAACTTACAAGTGTTAGGTGAACATGATAAAAAACAGCCATTAATTATGGAAATTCTATTTACTGACATTACTAAAAACGATGAGTTAGGCCACACAGAAATTGGTTTGATATTAAAGCTGATCTGTACAAATCACACAGCTATGGAGTTTACAGCTCTATATAACACTTGTTATTTCAAAATTCTTCAAATAATTTATTCAATACATTCAAATTTCTTTAAACTGACAAGTTCCATAGTTCAGGATTTTAAATCTAATCAAAAGTTGTGGAAGATGTTGATCAGCCAGATACTTTATATGCATGTATATACATTTTACCAACATCGCTGACGTTTAATGGATGGCCTCCTTTAACAGACAATTGTGTAACAGTTTGATGAATGACATCCTATTCAAAGTGCTGTGGTGACAATATGATCAATAGATATATAGAGGAACTAGAACACTGACAGGTCAGTAAGGGCCCCGTCTTGTGGCAATTATATCCCCCATAATCATCAAGAAGCAATCTGCCCATATAGCTGAGCTTGACGCTTGACATTTGGATTCCAAAAGAATCGCAAGGAAGCAAAATATACATTTTACATGTACTATGATGTGATGTGTTTCCTTCCACCTCCATATTTGCTGGGCTAACAGAAATTTAATTACCGGTGCATTACTCATTTGTTAGCTTTGATTTGTTTTATTTCACCTTATATACCTCCTCCATCAAGAGCCAGGGTCAAAGTCAGAGATCCACTTTGTCTTTGACCTTTGGACCCAAATGACCTTGACCATTAACCCAGTGACCTTGATCTTTGGTCAGTTGACTTATTCTTTAATTCCGACCAACTTTGCTTCTTAATATCATAACAAAATGTTCATCAGTGAAAAATACAAAACTTGACCTTGACCCTTTGGACCCAGTAACCTGGACCTAAGGTCAGTTGACTCTGTGATAAGTTCTGAACAGCATTGCTTCATTATGTCATAACAAAATGTTTATCAGGGAAAAGGTACAAAATTTAACCTTGACCTTTGACCAAGTGACCTTGACCTTTGGTCAATTTACACCTTGTTTAATTCTGAGCAACATTGCTTCAAAGTGTCATAGCGAAAAGTTCAACAGTGAAAAGATACAAAAATGTAACCTTGACCTTTGGTCAGTTGACTCCTTGTTTAATTCTGATCAACTTTGCTTCATAATGTCATAACAAAATGTTCATCAGTGAAAAGATGTAAAATTTGACCTTGACCATTGAACCTAATGACCTGGACCTTTGACCTTGACTTTTTACCTCAATGTGTATTTTTATGAACTGAAAATCTTGACCAAGTTTCATGTACATCAGTCAATAAATACGAAAGTTATCAGCCTGGAACAAAATTTGTGGACCGACAGACAGACAGACAGAGTGATTACTATAGGGCACCCGTATCTCTGATACGGGGCCCTAATTAATACAACACCATGTTACATAATCCTGACACAAAGCTTCTAAAAATAGGACAACAATTAATTAGGGTGACATTTCAGTACATTCTCTAAACCAAACAGAGAGGACCATGCATAAGCCAGGCAGTGGATGAGAAATAACTCCACGATAAGTTTACAATGTAAACTTGTGAGTTGTGGTGGGTTGATTCCCGATTGGATATGAAGGGAAGTGTCACCTGCCCGACCATGTAGGTTTTCTCCAGGTACTCATGTTTTCGCCACATTTAAAACCCTATGTGCTGCCATCCGGGCCAACAGGAGGGATTATTTAAATACAAGTTGATTGAAGTTGTTTTGCAGTTGTTGTATAAGTTTAATCAATAACGTCAATCTAAATTTCAAGCTAAAGTGAAAAGGCACTCCAGGGCAGAACATAGGTCTTTAAGAAGTAAATATTTTACTTACTGTGGAGGTGTCTGTAAGAAGTAAATATTTTACTTACTGTGGAGGTGTCTGTAAGAAGTAAATATTTTACTTACTGTGGAGGTGTCTGTAAGAAGTAAATATTTTACTTACTGTGGAGGTGTCTGTAAGAAGTAAATATTTTACTTACTGTGGAGGTGTCTGTAAGAAGTAAATATTTTACTTACTGTGGAGGTGTCTGTAAGAAGTAAATATTTTACTTACTGTGGAGGTGTCTGTAAGAAGTAAATATTTTACTTACTGTGGAGGTGTCTGTAAGAAGTAAATATTTTACTTACTGTGGAGGTGTCTGTAAGAAGTAAATATTTTACTTACTGTGGAGGTGTCTGTAAGAAGTAAATATTTTACTTACTGTGGAGGTGTCTGTAAGAAGTAAATATTTTACTTACTGTGGAGGTGTCTGTAAGAAGTAAATATTTTACTTACTGTGGAGGTGTCTGTAAGAAGTAAATATTTTACTTACTGTGGAGGTGTCTGTAAGAAGTAAATATTTTACTTACTGTGGAGGTGTCTGTAAGAAGTAAATATTTTACTTACTGTGGAGGTGTCTGTAAGAAGTAAATATTTTACTTACTGTGGAGGTGTCTGTAAGAAGTAAATATTTTACTTACTGTGGAGGTGTCTGTAAGAAGTAAATATTTTACTTACTGTGGAGGTGTCTGTAAGAAGTAAATATTTTACTTACTGTGGAGGTGTCTGTAAGAAGTAAATATTTTACTTACTGTGGAGGTGTCTGTAAGAAGTAAATATTTTACTTACTGTGGAGGTGTCTGTAAGAAGTAAATATTTTACTTACTGTGGAGGTGTCTGTAAGAAGTAAATATTTTACTTACTGTGGAGGTGTCTGTAAGAAGTAAATATTTTACTTACTGTGGAGGTGTCTGTAAGAAGTAAATATTTTACTTACTGTGGAGGTGTCTGTAAGAAGTAAATATTTTACTTACTGTGGAGGTGTCTGTAAGAAGTAAATATTTTACTTACTGTGGAGGTGTCTGTAAGAAGTAAATATTTTACTTACTGTGGAGGTGTCTGTAAGAAGTAAATATTTTACTTACTGTGGAGGTGTCTGTAAGAAGTAAATATTTTACTTACTGTGGAGGTGTCTGTAAGAAGTAAATATTTTACTTACTGTGGAGGTGTCTGTAAGAAGTAAATATTTTACTTACTGTGGAGGTGTCTGTAAGAAGTAAATATTTTACTTACTGTGGAGGTGTCTGTAAGAAGTAAATATTTTACTTACTGTGGAGGTGTCTGTAAGAAGTAAATATTTTACTTACTGTGGAGGTGTCTGTAAGAAGTAAATATTTTACTTACTGTGGAGGTGTCTGTAAGAAGTAAATATTTTACTTACTGTGGAGGTGTCTGTAAGAAGTAAATATTTTACTTACTGTGGAGGTGTCTGTAAGAAGTAAATATTTTACTTACTGTGGAGGTGTCTCTATGTTCATTAGTATACATAGTCAGTCTCAGCTATAGCTAGCTAAATAATACAAAGCTCTTACCTGAGTGCATCTGTACTTGTTCTGGTGGCCCCCTGGGATCAGGATATCCATTAGGGTTGCCTCTATAATCCATCTTCTACCTCAGGGTACGTTACACCTTAAAGAATGATTCAAAATCAGTTTAATTCTCTCATTCTATATTATAAAAGTACTACATGTATTTCAACTCATCTAGAACAGATTGTATACTGGTGTTCAAGACAGTTTAATGTTAAAGTGTTTTTCCGACATGAATGGAACAAATGGAAAATATTCATGAAATATAATTCATATTGTATTACATACTGTACATGTATGTGAACATTTGTACCTAATACTCAGTATTTTCTGGTAGCAAAAGGGTCCATGACTTATCAACTCAAAGTTTACATCTAATTAATTGTTTATGTAAGATGTAAGTTTACATCTAGAATCAATATTTGAAAATTATAATGTTAAGTTAAAGCTTAAGCTTAAAGTATAAAGTTTTAGTGTAAAATTAATGTGTAAATCAATCATGTCAATTTAAATTAAGGGAAAGTTATAGTGTTACTTAGTAAGTTACAGTAAAATGTTTTAGTGTAAAATTATACACTCACAGTAAAGTCATAGCGTGTAAAGTCATTGTATAAGACATATACAAATATAAAGAAAGTGAGTGAAGCTCTTGTATATTTTTATGATTACCCAGTCAATAGGAACAATAATCGTGACCCTGCTGTTTAACCACTACAGGTAAAGGAGAAATAGAATCTGTACATGTATGACATTTAAATCTATATTTAGAACAGGGACAAGTTGCTTCAGTGATACACTTACCTCAAATAACTATAAATAGCTCTATATAAAAACATCAACCATGGTTCCACGCCCTGTCCAGATCTATTGTCCCGATTAACAGTCTTGTGTGGCTCGTGTCGCTCGTTTCATTACTCAAGTCAGTAAATGACACTGAAATGTGACATTGCTGGTACATTATAACACACCTTAAATGTTTATCATTTAATGTTAAACTATCAGGTACCAGGTACATTGTGTTGACTTCAGTGAAATGATCGTATACTCCAACATAGCCATATTTTACCGGAATATATATGAATATATATAAATACAAAAAGTGTATATATACCACATTTAAGAAGCCACAGTGTATGTACCCGGGGTATAATTCTGACTGTTGTGTATGTATGTAAGATATATGACTTTTTTAACTTTCGGTGCAGCTGTTTTTATATAGTACAGAAGTACACTATTCTGTAGTCTAAACAGGTTTATTTTCTGGGATACACAACTGCAATAGGTTAAGGAAAAGGAGTAGTAATCTTTACAACAGACTTGTAAAATAGGAAAAGCACAGGTTGATCTGTTTTGACAGGACTTTGTGGTACACCTTCTTATATTATACTCTAATATTCGATTTGGCATTTCTTTTATATACTTGTTGACATCTTCGATATAGGTATAAACTTATCCTACTGATACAAATGTATTACATCATGAAGTGAAGATTCTGATCATTTCATACAGGATCCTTTCATTCCTAACCAAATATCTAAAAACAATGTCATTTAGCTATATAAATCAGAAACTGATTATGAATCAAAGCAAATAGCTATAGCATTACCTTGTCCTGGCTGAACATCTTGCCAAGAAATCCACATGTAAGAACAGATAAAAGTTCTGGATAGGTTTCAATGTAAACACCGGAACAGTTTAAATCAATATTGACAACAGACTGTTTGTTATATGCATGGTTAGCCCAAAGCCAACTGCATGTACAAATGTTTCTAAACTGATCTTCACAGAGTATTTAAATAATTAAACATGATATTACAATATCAGGTTTTTGATGACTTGGTTATATGTAATATGTGTAATATCCTTTATTCATCCGATAATTTCATAAAGCTCACACCTATATAGACCTATTGCATAACTTCCTGGTTTGTAGTCAGACACTTGTACATGTGTGTAGTGTAGGTATATTGAGTCCAGTTTATCACCTAACCTTATAAGTATGACAATACTGTTTATATACCCCCTACCTGTGGTCTATACACAATCAGACCACAACGACCCAGGTCCTGTTGACATTATAAGTTTGATAATTACAAAAGAATCAATATTCAAATAGGAAGAATAAGTAGATATATCATTACCAAAATGAAGCACACACAACAATGTACCAAAGGGAAATAAGGACAGGCGACTGACAGATGGACCATGGATGAAAGGCGATTTAAACAGCCCACCACTGGTGATGGTGGGATGAAAATCAGGCAGGAAGCAAGACATTAATCATAACCTTTCATTCCTTCCACTAATACATTACTTAAATATAATCTGACATGAAGATTTGAATTTTAAAGGGTAGAGGATAGCTGGTTTGCACAAATCATTTTTTCCACAGCAATTTCAATGTTGCACTTAGATCTAGGGAAACATTGTGATAAGCATGGATTGAAAGATAAACACCGAAAGCTGTTTATCACTGAGAAACATCATTTTAAATTGACTAATATGATGAAAAAGGATGATTCTGACAATGTCATTAAAAGCCCAGGTTATTTTCTACAAAATTATTGCCACACACAACTTGGCAATTCTACTTCTTCTATGCTTGCACCATAAAAATAAAAGTTCAGTATTGCAAAACTACTGAAATTTGTATAAGGACAAAACTGTCCTCATCGTTAATTATTCTATAGCTAAATTAAGTGGTGATAAAGTCACTGCTTAGTATAACATTCAGAAATAATGAATAATTGCTGATGATTCGAATATACTATCAATATATGACGATCCAAAACCCTCATCATATTGAGTGTAATACTAAGTGATTTGGAAAGCTTTGGAATTACACCATTCATAGCCTAATGCCATTAAAATGAACATTTCTGACAAGTAGATAACTGCTAACAATATAGTCCAGGGCCCGTATTCATGAAACTGTTCAAGCATGGATTTTTTGCTCAAGTCTAATTTCTTGTTCCAGTTATAAATTATTTTAAAAAGTCTTATTTTGTTAAAGTTTTGGAGAAAAATTGAAGAAACTAATTGAAGCCGAATACTGTTGTCAATATTTTAATTTGACTTTTTGATCGTTGACATGATTTAGATGGGTTACAAGAAAGCTGACTTGAGCACAGAATCCATGCTTGAGCATGAGAACGGTTTCATGAATACGGGCCCAGCTCTAGGATGTTTTAAGGGAAAGATACTTGCATGACTCCTCCATCCTAATATCATACTTGTCAACATTTTAGTTTTGAAATTCCATGAAGGAGATTCCACATGCTCAAAATTAAAACAAAATGTGTATATATACCACCGAGATGAAAAAAATGTTTAATAAATAAAAGTGATGTAAGAACTCTCAAAGTAACCAAATAAAGTGAAATTGGACTGAAAATTAGTGACATCATTTTTTGTGTCACTATTTAAGAAAATAAAATGAGGTCAATTTATGGATTCCAAATATCAATATTTCATGAATATGGCAGAATATCATTTTTGTTAATGTACCAAAACTAATATATTCTGGTATATGATTGAAAAATATTTAGTATTCAACAGGAAAAGCACTGAACTTTTTCTATTTATTACATTTAAAGTGGGTACAGACGTTCCATCCAGTACTTTGCTGTTTCGGTACTAAGATATTTCGATCAGTACTTCTCTAAGACGTTTTGGTATGCTTCGCTATCAATTCAATATTTTGTATTATATAATAAAACTGTAATTTTGCTTCAAAACTACATCGTTGTCGTTGATTTTCCCAGTGTTCATCTATTTCATGCTCAAATTGTTTAGATGTCATTGCGTTCACTTCATTCAGTGGGAGGTTGTCCCACATATCAACAGTTCTCTGTGTGAGCTATGTAGGCCTAATAGGCCTGTTAGTTGTAATAGCCCACTAAACAGTGCACCTCATGTCCATGGTCCATCACCTGTGGTAACTGAATAAAAATATCTTTACTCTCTTTAGATGGTGACAATTGACATAATATACATTATACTTACGGTGATTCAAACGAACACCAACTGCACTGTCAACGTCGTGTATGAAAACAAAACTAACCTAAACGACTTCCGTATTTTCGTGCCGCAAGGGAGATGACTCGCGATTGCCAGATGGCGCTAACGTTTGTTGTCATCGCGCACTTCCTGTGACAAGTTTGAACAAAATTTTGGATGATGTCCATATGATACTGATAGCTCGCAAGATACTCCGATATACGCCGGAAAACAAAAAAGAACCACTTCATTAGGTAAATTTCAATTCATCATTTAATTAGAAAAGTGAGCATGTATTTCGATTATGCGTGTTCGGGGCAATCAATGTGTTGTAAATTGCCTGTCTAATATTCGCCTGCTCAGACTGTCGGACCATAGGGGCACGCAACTACTATATTATATTGATCTTGTTAGACTTTCAGTCGCTGGGTACGTTATATCCAATATTAGAATATAATGTACCCAGCGACTGAAAGTCTAACACGATCAATATTAATAGTAAAATTGGGATATAACGTACCTATCGACCCGAAAGTCTAACACGATCAATATTAATAGTAAAATTGGGATATAACGTACCTATCGACTGAAAGTCTAACAAGATCAATATTAATAGCAGTTGCGTGCCCCTATGGTCGGACGCAGCTAACAAACTGGAAGAGGACTTTCTCATGAAATCTACCCAAAATGAATAATAATCATAATTTCATCAAAAACTTTGTTCACACTAAATCCTTCAATTCCCAACCCCTTTTCCTTCACCCTTACAGCCTAACGTTAACCCCACCATTTCCTTATCTTTTTGCTGGATCTGTTTATCATGACACTGATTAGCTATTACGAGTCCTATTACAGTAGCTTAGTAGGGCCAGTTTGCTCACTTGTTGAAGGACTTGGTGTTTCTAAAAATAGAATTATGATGTGTCTCCAAACAATGCACCATCCCACTTCCAAAGTTTTTGTTTTTTTTCTCTCATATTGCTTACATCACTGTTTTGTAAAATAATAAAACAATTGTAGCCTTTAACTTCAGTCAATACCTGGATTTATCAACCCGAGAAAAGATATATTGACCGAGGAAGCAGTCCGAGGTTAATATATTTTTTCTATGGTCGATAAATCCAGGTATCGACCTTAGCCAAAGGCTATAATTGAATAATATTTTGATTTTAAAAGATTTTCTTTTGTGTTACCATAGCTACGATAACGTTAGCTTTCTGACGACGAGAGAAATTTTTTAGAGGAGGCAGGGTATTAATATTAATACTAGTGTAACCAATACAGCCCGCCCCTATGCCCCAGGGAGTTATATCATAAACTCCGTTTGTACAATATCGAATCTAAATTTGCAATGGATGCTGAAGACCAAAATTTGGTTCAAATTCTTCCATTCAAATGAAAGGGGATGGATTTCATAGATTTTCCTTTATTCCCCCCATTGAGCCTCGCCCTTCTGCCCCTAGAAGAACAACACCCAGGCCTTTGTTTATATAAAATTAAGTCCCCAAGCTTAGCCCAAGGATGCTCTAGACCAAATTTGGTTAACTCAATCCATTTGTACAGAACAGGAAGGTTCACCATTATTTCCCTAATCATGGATCCCACCCCTCGGCCTCAATCTGTCACTTGTGAAGACACATCTCAATAACGGGGAATAGGGATAAATGTTTAAAATCCTCCTTTTTCTGTACAACTGGAAGAATTCAAACCAAATTTGGTCTATAAAATCCTGTGTCAAAGAGAGTTCAATGTTGTAAAAATTGATAGTGTGGCTTTCTGGGGGCAGAAGGGTTGTGTCTCATTTGTTTATCTATATGTAACCAACAAGCATCTCTAGGCCTAGGGGATATGCTCAATTCATAGCTAATTCCCCACTGTAGTATTGCATGTCACTGTCCAAAATTCAGTCCTGTAACCATTGGCATGCAATTTCCACTTTTATAGAAAGAAAATGCCGCTGAATCTCTTTGGAAATAAGTTTTCTCCCAAGAAAACACCACCACGGAGAGCACAGTCATTATCAAATCTACAGTTAGATGCAACACAGTCCAAGGAGGAGTTTGGACCTGATGTGGGTCCCATCAAAGTCAGACTCAGTGGACAGGAAGTTACATTTGAGAATGGAATGTGGGTTCCAGGTAAATATAAGCATCAGAGGTCACTAAGATTGAATCAAAGATGTTATCTAACCAAAACCAAAACAATGTGCCTTAATTTGTTGAAGTTAATATATTTGTATAAATCTTTAGATTAACTTTCTATACTATATGCTAAAGGTCAACATAAAATTAATTATGAACAGGTAAATCTGCAATCAACTGAAAGAAGAAAGCTATTTCCAAGTTAAACATGGATGTGATGATTAATGGTCTGGGCTACATTCTGAGGTTAAATGATTAATTATGCCATGGTGTGTTTGTTGTCTGTCTGTTTTTCATTGTCTGGTTGTCTGTCATACATCAGTTTTTAGCTCACCATCATCTTTCTCAAAGAAATGTAGTTTCCCCTTGGTCCGTTGTTGTGCTTCTTTATTTTGGAGACTGATCGCATACTTGCCAAATCTCCCTATTTTAGAGGGAGACTCCTGATTTTGGACCCTAAAATTAAGCATTTTCAACCTGTGAATTTGCTAAACTAGTCCTATTTTATAAAATCTGATGATTTCATCTGAAAGAACAACTCAAAAGCGCCATGTAAATGTGTTGTTTCTTCCCTAGGGTGTACATACACACATTATTTTTGTAAATGTGTTATTTCTTCCCTAGGGTGTACACACACACATTATTTATGTAAATGTGTTATTTCTTCCCTAGAGTGTACATACACACATTATTTATGTAATTGTGTTATTTCTTCCCTAGGGTGTACATACACACATTATTTATGTAAATGTGTTATTTCTTCCCTAGGGTGTACATACACACATTATTTATGTAAATGTGTTATTTCTTCCCTAGGGTGTACACACACACATTATTTATGTAAATGTGTTATTTCTTCCCTAGAGTGTACATACACACATTATTTATGTAATTGTGTTATTTCTTCCCTAGGGTGTACATACACACATTATTTATGTAAATGTGTTATTTCTTCCCTAGGGTGTACATACACACATTATTTATGTAAATGTGTTATTTCTTCCCTAGGGTGTACACACACACATTATTTATGTAAATGTGTTATTTCTTCCCTAGGGTGTACACACACACATTATTTATGTCAATGTGTTATTTCTTCCCTAGTGTGTACACACACATTATTTATGTAAATGTGTTATTTCTTCCCTAGGGTGTACGCACACACATTATTTATGTCAATGTGTTATTTCTTCCCTAGGGTGTACACACACACATTATTTATGTAAATGTGTTATTTCTTCCCTAGAGTGTACATACACACATTATTTATGTAATTGTGTTATTTCTTCCCTAGGGTGTACATACACACATTATTTATGTAAACATACACACATTATTTATGGTTTTAATTCTGAACACGCGTAATCTCCCCGATTGAAATTTCAAAAAGTTGGTACATATGTGATTGGATAAACAAAATGTCAACCACTTTGGTTTTTGACAGTAAAGGATTGTTATCGCCATTTCTCAGGAAATGCTGGAGGGATCTTTCTCAAATTTGATATGTAGGTTCCCCTTGATCCTTAGTTTTGCATGTTTTATTTTGAGAGTGATCATAAAAACAAGATGGCTGAAGGAAGAACTGAACATATCTTTCTCATATTGCACAAACTCACTTTGAAGGTTATCTTTTATACACAGCAGTATTAAGTTCAGATAAGAGAAAAGGAGAGAAAAGATAAAACTGACAAAGAACTAATGAAGATGGTGCAATGGTGGGCATCAAGATCCATCTGGAATCATTTGTTTCGTTGAACAAAAACTTCTTCAGAACATTGGAAATAGGGTCATAATATTTGGCAAGAAGCTTCCTAAGATGAAATCCAACAAAATTTGCCAAAAAAAATGACTTTGAGCTACTCAAAAGAATCTATATTTTTAAAACATTCAAACAACTTCTTCTTAAAAATCCAAATGGCATAGAATATTGAATCTATATTTTTAAAACATTCAAACAACTTCTTCTTAAAAATCCAAATGGCATAGAATATTTGGTCAAAAGCTTTCTGGAAATTTGCAGACGGAAAAAATGTTCATATTCAAGGTTACAGGGGGTGTCAAAATTTGTATAAACCCACAAATAATTTCCTCTGAAGAACATCAAGACCTAGAGTCATTATATTTGACCAGTAACTGTTGGATTGGAATGCTTTAAACATTGGCTTCTATTTACGGTCACAGGAGTCAGATGTGTTCAAATCTATTAACAACTTACAAAGATTTTTGAGGTCTAGAATAATGTTATTATGTTATACTATCACTTGCTAGTGAGAAAAGTTATCAGGTTTGTTTGAATAAATAACTTGACCAACTTTGAGGGAATAAGTTGAAATCTTCAAACAAACATCTGTCAGCATTACAGTATTTGTTTAAGCCTGTAGTGTTAGCTAGCTTGCTATCAAGTAAGGTTAAATGAGTTTTTCCTAGGCACGCTTTGAAGTTCACAGATGTTAAATGCATTTTGAAAACAGCATTAAATATCAGATAAGCGATGCTTGCCCGTTAGGCCTTTTGTTATGAAAATTGGCACACATGAACAGTATGATGGTAGCTGCAGTGGTAGTTTTATGTACATGTGGTAGCAGTATGATGGTAGTTGCAGTGGTAGTTTTATGTACATGTGGTAGCAGTATGATGGTAGCTGCAGTGGTAGTTTTATGTACATGTGGTAGCAGTATGATGGTAGCTGCAGTGGTAGTTTTATGTACATGTGGTAGCAGTAGTTGTAGTTGTGTTTGTATATTTTAAAATAAGGAAGGTTTATATATTGTAATTAATGTATTGTGTAAAACATTAATTGTTTTAGTATCAGATGGTAAGTAGTACTAGAGTAGATGAATTCTAAAACTCTTTTAATACTATCTGTAATTAATTTATATTTTAGTTATTAACTCATCAGTTCCAAATTTCATGTATAAACGCTAATTTAATTTGGAATAATAATTTTCAAAGGGTTTGCAATTAAAACAAGTCCTTTACAATTATTCTATTGGTGTAAGACCTACTGATTAATTATTTATTAATGATAATTTTGTTTCATTTCAATGTTTTTAACCACAGATTGAGATACATAGTCTATTTTTACTGCTTCTAATGTTTAATTATAACTCTCAGTATCTTAGCAAATCTTCAAAATGATTTGATCATCAAGATGTTTGGGCAAATTATAAAAGATGGCAGGTTAGCCATTCCTTGGACTGTAAATTTTGATTTTCGTTCATTGTATTTTTGTAGTACATGTACAAATTTTCACAAGTACAAAAGATGATAATAAGAACTTCCAATAGTGGACATGAACACACAATTTTACATTATGTATGAATGATTCCAGAACATAAACAGTGTTTGTTGATATTTCCTGACTTACTCACAGTCTATATTTTGAGGTCACCTGAGCTTTGCTCAAGTGACCTATTCTGATCGCTTTCTGTCCTTCATCATCCGTTGTGCGTAAACTTTTTACATTTTCAACTTACCAAGAACCAGATGATGGATTTTTTTTCAAACTTGGTCATCATCCTTAATACCGGTAGATGAGGCTACAAAATTGTAAAATTGGGATTCCTACCCCAACCCCTGGGGCCAGGGCGGGGTCCCTGAGGGAAAATTAACCAATATTTCAAATATCTTCTTCTCCAGACTCAGAGGTACTACAGTCAATTTCAGTGCATGGATAGAAAGATCATCAGGAGCTTTATTGAAAGTGTCAATTTCAGGATCCCAAGACATCTGTTCTCCTTTGGGGAGGGGGAAAAGTTTACTATAGTTTTTATAGGGAAATGACACTTTTGGGTATATTTTATCCTTTTCAGCAGAAAATTATTCAAACTTGGTCAGAATCATCTTTGGTAGATGAGGGTATTACATTGTAAAAATTGTATTCCTGCCCCATCACCAGGGGCAAGGGCGGGGCACCAAAGGGAAAACTTACCAATATTTTAAAATTCTTATCCTTTGATGACATGACAAGTATTGTATTTCACTTAGTTTACATACTGATTCCCACATCACATCTCAACAATAAAATTGAGCTACCAGTACCTATGATATAACTCAGATGACCGCTAAGGCCCTTGGGCCTCTTGGTAATGCTCCTTGTTAGTACCCATTATTTGACCAGAGGTATCAGCTACTAAATGTGTTTCTTTTATAGTAAATTCTGTACAAAGGGTGAAAGGGGTAGTGTCTAGATATAACCCTATATTAATGAATTACTAACAATAACATATTTTGAAATTAAGTTAATGATTTATCGATTTTCTGACCATATGTCCTGGTATTAGGACGCTGTGGTGTGTATAGTAACAATGAACCAGACAATGTAGTGAATCATTCATGAGCTCGGTTATAAGATGTATCGACACATGTTAGCCTATGTGTCAGCTTCATAATAACTGTGTAATTATCTGTATACAAACAGGTACTGAATTTCTGTCTGGAGGCCAGTTCTATTGACCATTGTACAATCTAATACTGTTTTGGAACAAGAATGTGATACATGTAATAACAATTATCTCTAATAAATTGTACCAGTTATCAGTGTGTTTTAAGGTCAGAACATTGATTAATTAGTGATCAATGTCAACATTAGATTAATTAGCTGGAGATAATTCTTAATCCTATGTTGCAAGTAAATGACATTTTTTCAGATAATTTGAATTTTGTTTTTGTTTTTAGAAATAAATAAATAATATATAAATATATAAGTAGAGTTATCAATATGCTATTATTAGATTTTATTATAAAAATGTAAAATTGTATTAACATTCAACTGACACTGACAGATTACATTGAGTTCAGAATGCTTCGTTAAACGACCTTGATGGACAGGTTTTCATTTTAGTGATACATACATATGTCCTTGATACCAGGTCAGAGTATTTCAGATGTGTCCGGTACACACACAAAAAAAGCCACATTTATTTCAACACCACATTGTTTAGTCTCTTTCTATATATAATTACCAGTAATGAGAACTGTTGTCTTGTAATCCTGATTTCTGTGGTGAGTAATAAACTAAGAATGTTTGGTAACACTTCCTTTATTTTGACAGAGACGGGTACTAGTGCAGCTAGTCATAAAGAAGTGATGAAACTAAGGAAGGCCAACCAGCAACTACAAGAGGAAAACAACTTACTCAAACTGAAAACAGATATACTACTGGATATGGTAAGTAGTAGGTAGAGACAGGCATGCTTCAGGAATAGTTTTCTGTTGTGGTCAGGTTATGAGGTGATCCAGTCAATAAACAGGAGTTATATATACAATGTATTTGCTTGTTCACATGTAATGAAAAAAACATGGAAAAAATATAAACTTTTTTATTATACAACAATTATGAAAAAAGTTGTTACAACTTATATTAATCACTCTTGTTGGCGCGGGGGGTGTTAATGTGGGAGGAAACCGGAGAAAACCCACATGGTGGGGCAGGTGAACCCATGCCTTATCACATCCTACTTTATTACACATGCAATAAATAAGACAGGTCATCCCTGATTTATATCATTTTTCGAGAATAACAGACTAGTTACTTTAATCATGAAACTAACAGTGTAGACAATCATAATCAGATCAGTCTTCTAAGTAACCTGTCTTAACCAAAGCCTGCCTCATCTGAACATCTGTCCACTCTGATTGAAAGTTGTGTATTTGACACAGGTTTCACTGTATTTATATACAGTTGAATGAGTAAGAACTGACTCTTTGTTTAAAATTAATATATTGTATCAACACATATTTCAGCTAGCGGAAGCATCAGCTGTGTCTCATTACCACGAAAATGAACTGAAGCAGTTAAAAGCACAAGCTGGGAGAAGAAAATAACCGAACATCAAACTGGTAACAGCACAGACGCAGTCACATATATAGGATGGGAACAGTGGACCAATGGGGAGCCTGTAGTGTCCTCCAGGGACATCAGTATCACAGGGCCGTAGAACTGAGACAGACACAACTTCACTCATTTGGTATCTTGTGAACAGAATCTTTCTACACCATGTTTCTCATCACATATCTAGTGTAGTCCAGCAAGTGAGGGATATTTGTTACGTGTACTTTGGATAGAAATATAAACAAACTTTCACTTGGCATTTCTAAGCAATTGCTATCCGTCCAAATCTTGTTTGACCCATGAGTTGTTAAAGGAAGATTAACTTGGCAAATGTGTTTGTATCGTGTGTGATACATATCGGGGCTAACATTATACATGTAATGCATGTATTAATGTATTTAACTATAGGATATTTCAGTTGTTTACCAGAGTACATCATCCAATTGATTGTAATTCAAGCCAATGATATTTGTTTGGCGGGCGTATAATGTTGTGTCTGTGATATTTTAAGTTAGTGAGGAAGTGTAACTGCATGTATTTAGTTATACAAACAATATTTATTACATCCAGAAGTACTGTTAATTTGGCCTTGTGATCTGTATAGACTGTCATTGGTAACTTAAAATGTGGTAAATTAGATGTTTAATACAGATTTGTTTTTTGGTTCATTTTGAGCACTGTGAAAGATATTCTGTATATTTTCAATTCAGTAATGATTGACCCTGTACCATCTTAATTACATCAACGGACATATATATATGCTTTCTTAACTTATACTTAATTTTAAGTCCAAGGACTAATTATATATTGGAATTTTGAACTTAAATCATGCAAGGAAGAATGCAGTAAGATTCTTTTCCAGAATTTCTCTACTATTGTCACTAATTGAATGGAGATATCAACAGTATTCTTAATACCACAGTTATTTCTGTTTAACAACAATTGAACTATTGTTTTGTAGAATCTGACCATGTCCTCCGTAAGTTTATTTTTGTGAATATATTTATATCATGACAAAATAAAAATGTGATTTAATATAATTTATGACATTCTTGTATTTATTATTCAACAATGTTTGTACGTGTCTTGTCTAAACTCGGGGAAATTACTTTAAGGTGGTTAATATTAAATAGATTATGGACATATATATTAACCCAATCAGGAGTGTGGGAGGAGCATTACCTAGAACACAAGGGCACCTTATCCCCCTGAATACCTCCACATGGTGAGGGTGTCTGTTGGAGGTATATGTGTTCTGCTTGTTAGCTCATTATACCCCCTGCAATGAAGTTAGTGGGGTAAACTGGAATCAGCTTGTCCGTCCGTCCATCCATAGAAAAAGTTTGTCCGGACAACTCCTTCTAAAGTAATGGCCCAATTTTAACGAAAGTTTTCAGATATGATAACTACCACCCGATATTATGCATTCACTTATTTTTTTCCCCAACCCTTTTAAGCTCACCTGGCCTGAAGGGCAGTGTGAAGATTTTACTTTAAACAACTTCTTAATAACCAAAATGCCCAGGTGATGATATTTGGCCAGTAGCATGCTGCGATGAAGGGCTACCAAGTTTGTTCAAATGAATGACCTTCACTCATATTCAAGAATACAGGGGGCAATTCTCTGGGAAAACCCCCCCAATTTTTTCTGAATAACCAAAAGGCCCAAGATGATATAAACCTTTCAATGACATAATCTCAATAAAAAGGTCTAGTGTGGTGATATTTGGCAAGTAGCATATTCAACGTAATGACCTTGTTCGACTTTCAAGCTCACAGGGGTTAAATGTTTTCAAATCTTTTAACAGGTTCTTTTGGATGACTTATAGTCATAAATACTGATATTTTGTTTGTAGCTTTAGATCACTTTTAAGGTAACAAGTGTAGTTAATACCAAGTGTGATGCAGGCCCATTAGGTCTCTTGTTTATGGAGTTATGGCCCTTTGTTGAATAAGAGGCCCATGGGCCTAAACGGTCACCTGAGTCCTACAGTATTTATTTTTGTTGTTGAAATATGTACCAATTTCAGTACAAAATAGTTAAGTATAACGTTAACTTAAGTTTGTCAGGACCATGAGCTGATCATTCCTAGACCGAGTTTCAGTTAAATCGGCCTATTAGAACTTGTTTTTAAGTTTGAAATACTTTTTTGAAAATGGCGGCCATATTGAATTTCTGATCGACCCGAAAAATAACAACACTTTGTCAGGACGATGAGTCGATCATTCCTACAAAGTTTCAGTTCAATCGGCCCTGCAGAACTTGACTTTTAAATTTGAAATAGTTTTTCAAAATGGCGGCTGTGTCGGCCATATTGGATTTCTGATCGACCCGAAAAATAACAACACTTTGTCAGGACCATGAGTCGATCATTCCTACCAGGTTTCAGTTCAATCGACCCAGCAGAACTTGACTTTAAGTTTGAAATAGTTTTTCAAAAAGGCGGCCTAGGCCATATCAGATTTCTGATCGACCCGAAAAATAACAACACTTTGTCAGGACCATGAGTCGATCATTCCTACCAGGTTTCAGTTCAATCTGCCCAGCAGAACTGACTTTAAGTTTGAAATAGTTTTTCAAAATGGCGGCCGTGGCGACCATATTGGATTTCTGATCGACTCGAAAAATAACACTTGATCAGGGAGATGTCAGTAACCTTCCCATGAAATATTAATGAAAACCCTTTGCCAGTATTTCAGCTTAAGTTGAAAATGTAAAATGTTAACAGACGAAGCAGATAGCAATAGGTCACTTGAGCTAAAGCTCAGGTGACCTGACCTACTGGGCCAATTTCAAAGAAACTTTACAGATATGGTAACTGCCCCCTGATGTTATGCATCTAAGTAGTACCTTTTTCATTCCAACCCTTTTAAAAGGAGTTATGGCCCTTTGTTAAACAAGAGGTCCATGGGCCTTAACGGTCACCTGATATATTTATACAGAGAGTTGATTTTGTTTTTAACATGTACAGAAATATTATTCAAAGTGACAAAAAACAATAAAACCACCTTATTCAAACTGTCAACTCAAGGTTATAATTCCAATCAAGTTATTAACATGTAATATTCAAAGTATCATTTGCCATTATAAACCATAATAAATTTTGCCGCCTCCCCCCTCCTTCCCCAGGGTGTAAACGCGAGACCCCAGGGTCATAAACCTTAAGACCCTTCCATCTATGAAGAGTGTTGGATTCTACCATATCTGGGTCTTTGAGAAGAAGTTTTTGAAATATCAGTCAATTCAACCCTTTTTGGCCCCACCCATCAGCCCTGGGGGGTCAGTCAGGGCTGATATGTGCATATACCATCAAACTGCTATCCAATACTGATAATGCTAACCCAAATTGAATAACTTCCAATGGAAATTAAACAAATGTTGGTCCAAAATGTGATTTCCCTATATAAACTATAGGAAAGTTTACCCCTCCCCAGGGGTAAACATGAGACCCGAGGGTCATGAAATTCACAATTTATGGTAAAGCACCTTAAGACCCTTCCATCTATGAAGAGTATTTGATTCTACCATATCTGGGTCTTGAGAAGAAGGTTTTTGAAATTTTAGTCATTTTGACCCTTTTTGGCCCCGCCCCTCAAGCCCCTGGGGGCTTGGGACTAAACCAGCAACTATTTTTGTTGACCTTTGTCCATGGAAGGTTCCTACAAAATTTCATTGAAATTTGTTCAGTGGTTTTGGAGAAGAGGTCGAAAATGTAAATTGTTTACGGACGCACGACGACGGACAAAAGGCGATCGCAATAGGTCACTTGAGACTTTGTCTCAGGTGGGGCTAACAAGTTATATTGTGTCTGTTTTCGACTTCTTCTCCAAAACCACTGAACCAATTTCTGAGATTTCTGAAAAATCTTTTTCTCGACATCTCTTCCTTAACTACTAGGACAATTTCAGCAAAACTGGTTCATCTGGGCTAACAAGATTTGGTTTGCATGTATGTTTTGGCATTGGGAAGGAGTACATGAAATATGTCAGTGACCCATATATTTAAGTAAGTGTACAGCTTGGTCAATAAAGAAATCTTTACTGGTGGGAGACTATGGATTGCTTTGCCTTAGTTAGCCTTTAGCTTATAGTTCTAGTTTGGTCTTAAGTAGCATGTGTTATATCAATATGGTTGGAATACAGCATCAATGACAGACATGCATGAGCTATATACTGTAGGCTGTATGTTCCAGTTATATTGATACAACTTCAAACTCCTGTGTCTGGCCCAAGGACCATGTTGAAATCATGACATGAAGAGACAAACACGATTGTCCTATCAGAGTTGGCCCTACTCCTTGGGTGGTTCATGGAGTTACGATATGGAAACAATTGAGATTCCTAAAGTACCTCATAAAATTGCTGGGCATAGAGACAAATACAGAAATGCCAGAGATTAAGTCCCTGGTTTGAAACATGGAAACAGTGGAAATCTCAATCCTTTAAGAATGTAAATGATAGCTAGGCATGAAGAAACAACTCACTCGTGCTATCAGGATTGGCTCCTGGGTCTGGCTACACCCCTGGAGACTGCAGGGTCATAACCCGGGCCCTTTAACAATATTCACATATATTTCAACAAAATGTTCTTTCTTAGCATACCTGGTCCCGAGATCATGAAACGATCTGAAGTCTAAAATTGTCGTCAGTTTACACTTAAACCAGTCACAAATAACTATGAAAAGTGATGTCATACTTGATTGGCTAAGCAATCTTATTGCACGATCCCTGGGCCTGGTGTTTGGGAAGTTGAATCGGTTTGTTTGTTTTTGAACCAATTGAAGCATCATTGAACCAGGGAATCAAGTATTTCATAAAAGAAGGGTGTTCCCCCCACCAAAGTTCTACAGCATCAATGACAGATGTATCGCTCACCTGGATACCTAAGCAATCATGGCAAACTATTCTCCAAATGAGATCAAGGGAATATGCCAGACCCCAAGTCAGAGCCCAAATTGAAATATTTTCAATACACAAATTAGTATTAAAGAGAGTAATTTGCCATGACTGAATAAAATATTCAGGTGAATGATATATGTTGTCACCCAACTAGAATGTTACAATGCAGACACTATAGCACCTAACCAAGACTACCAGCTTTATTTGAGTTGCGGGAGTAGGTCTAGGAACTTAGTTCTTTGGTCCTAACTTTGAAATGGTTCAGATCCCCACCCCATAACCATATAAGCATAAAGAGGTAAACACTCAATTCCTGATGTTAAAATTGACCCTGGTGTCTGGCCCCTCCCCTAGGGAGTTAATTTCTGGATCATAACTTTGAAAAGTTTGAGATCCTCAACCCATAGCCATATACATATACCATTGCTGGGCAAAATGATCCAGGCGAGTGCTACAAACCTCTTGTTTAAATTATACAAAATACAGGTTACATTAACCTACTCTTGGTATGTGATCCAGACATCCAAATAAAATTGTATTAACCCTATGTGAAATAGCACAGGAGATATACCCCACACAAACCTCAATGATTCGAGTCAGCTGTTCAGATAAAGATCACATTTACCTACTATGAAGAAATTGATTTGTTGACAAGTTTATGTACCGCTATTTGTTATTTGTTATTTTAATATAGAACTTAATAATGATGCGACAATCTACCTTGACTGTCCCGACATGTCTGGTAAGTAATACAAGAGGCCCAGAGGGCCTATATCGCTCACCTGGATACCTAAGCAATCATGGCAAACTATTCTCCAAATGAGATCAAGGGAATATGCCAGACCCCAAGGCCAATCCTTGTAGCATAGCTATATTAGATTGTTCATGCCCAGCAATTTTATGTATGGTTATGGGGTGGGGATCTCAACTGTTTCCAAGCTCAGAAACTAGGTCCCTAGAGTTGTGTCCAGACCCCATGATCGATTCTATTATCTTGACTGCATTTGTTTCTTTTTGCCAAGCATTTGTATATATAGTTTTGGGGTTGGGATCTCAACCCTTTCAAAGTTATGACCCAGGGGCCAAGTCTGCAAGGGTGGGGCAGACCCTGGGATCAATTCTAATATCATGACTGAATTCGTCTCTTTATGCCCAACAATTATATATATAGTTTTGGGGTGGGGATATTAACCATTTCAAAGTTATGACCCAGGGGTTAAGTCTCCAAGGGTGGGGTAGTCCCCAAGGCCAACCTGGAAGCATATGTACAATCATCTCTTTATACTCAGCAATTGTATATATATTCGGTGATAGGGTGGGGCTCTCAACTGTTTCCTAGCTGTGACAAAGAAACTAGGTCCCTAGGGGTTCGGTCAGACCCTAGGGTCTATTCTGATATCGTGATTGCATTCGTCTCTTTATGCCCAGCATTTGTATATATAGTTTTGGGGTGGGGATCTCAACCATTTTAAAGTTATGGCCCAGGGACTATGTCTCCAAGGGTGGGGCCAGACTCTAGGGACATCCTGGAAGCAAATGTGAATTCTTCTCTTTATACTCAGCAGTTGTATATATGGTTTTATGGTGGGGATCTCAACCATTTCCAAGTAATACATTTTATTGGCCCCACCCCTTAGCCCGGGGGGTCAGCCCCACCATTTGCACAATTTTGAATCCCGGCCTCCCATGAATACCTCCGACCAAATATGATCAATATCCATGGCATAGTTCTGCAGAAGAATCATTTATAGCAACATAACCAAATTGCCCCCCTTTTGGCCCCGCCCCTCAGCCCCCTGGGGGGTCAGCCCAACCGTTTGTACTATTTTGAATCTCCACCACCTAGAGATGCTTCCAGTCAAATATGGTTGATATCCACTTCTTCGTTCCAGAGAAGAAGTCGCTTAAAGCAGTATAGCCAAATCCCCTTTTTGGCCCTGCCCCTCAGCCCTCTGGGGGGTCAGCCACACCATTTGTACAATTTTTAATCTTAATCACAACCACCTAGAGATGCTTCCAGTCGAATAAGGTTGATATCCATCACTTAGTTCCAGAGAAGAAGTCACTTAAAGCAGTATAGCCAAATCCCCTTTTTGGCCCTGCCCCTCAGCCCTCTGGGGGATCAGCCACACCATTTGTACAATTTTAAATCCCTGCCTCCCAGGAATGCTTTTGATCAAATATGATTGATATCCAGTGCACAGTTCTACAGAAGACGGCGTTTGTAGCAATATAGCCAAATTGCCCCCTTTTGGCCTCGCCCCTAAGCCCCCTGAAGAGTCAGCCCCAACATTTGTACAATTTTTAATCACCACCACCTAGGGATGCTTCCAGTCAAACGTGGTTGATATCCACTTCTTCGTTCCAGAGAAGAAGTCGCTTAAAGCAGTATAGCCAAATACCCTTTTGGGCCCTGCCCCTCAGCCCTCTGGGGGATCAGCCACACCATTTGTACAATTTTAAATCCCTGCCTCCCAGGAATGCTTTTGATCAAATATGATTGATATCCAGTGCACAGTTCTACAGAAGACGGCGTTTGTAGCAATATAGCCAAATTGCCCCCTTTTGGCCCCGCCCCTTAGCCCCCTGGGGAGTCAGCCCCACCATTTGTACAATCTTGAATCCACACCACCTAGGGATGCTTCCAGTCAAATTTAGTATAATTCCAATCAGTGGTTAAGAAGAAGAAGTCTTTTAAAGAAATTGTTGACGTACGTACGGACGGACAGACGGATGGACGACGGACGCCACAGTATGGCATAAGCTCACCTTGGTCCATCGTACCAGGTGAGCTAATAATCAAAGACATAGAATAGATGTGTAAAAATATCCTAACAGTTCAATAGTCGTGGCCTGGGCAGCATTGTGATTTGAACTTGAACTCCTTACTGCAACCTTGACCATTGTGTATCTCCTGAAGTAATGACTCTAGTCCTGGATCCAAGTTTCCTGTCATAATACACATAATTATAGGGTTTCATCCAAAATTCATTATTCGGTGGTTTTGAAGCGATAATCCAGACAGAGATCGCAATTCACTGAATGTTACTGTGAACTTGAGTATTGGGATTCAAAAACTGTTTGAGGTACACATCACTGTTTTGTCATAAAAGCATGTAAGTTTCATCAAATAGATTTCTGTAGTTCAAAAACTGATGGATTGGACAAGGCAATTGCTACATACCCCTGTGTTTATTGGACAGGTATACAATGATTGACAGAACAACACCCCTGTGTTTATTGGACAGGTATACAATGATTGACAAAACAACAAAGGGTTTAGTTTTATGTTTAATAAAATTGGATGTACATGTATAGTTTTACAATGTCCCCCATATAACAGCATTTAATTCAATCTACATACCGAATCAACCACAATCTGATTTTGACAGTTAAATGAAAAAACAATCGTCACTTAAAAAGAGGTAAAAGCATTGAGATTGAATACAATAGTAAAAGCAATGTTTCAATATTAAACTTTTAAATGTGTAGGTGTCGTTATCATTTTTACAAAATCAAATCATTGACAAAAATATTACTAAAATGTATTAAATTTCCCTGGTACTGAACTCACTCATACACAGTTTATTAGCTTGCAGTACACATTCGTAGAGAACACTTTGTGGTCCAGACAATTTGTATTCCCAAAAGTACACACACTGAATGAATGAAATGTAATGTCTAGTATCTGCCCCTACCCCCACCCCCACGTCCACCGCGAAATCCTCCACCACCTCGAAATCCTCCCCCTCCCCCACGTCCACCTCCTCGAAAGCCACCTCCACCACCGCCTCCTCTTCCACCTCTAAAACCTCCTCCTCTTCCACCTCCTCCCCTTCCTCCTCCTCGTCCACCTGAAACAGAGAGTAAACAAATTATAAAGGTATACTGGGTTGATGCTGAATTACACACACTTCTGTGAATTACTCCTATTTTGTTCCGGTATGAATTAGTACAAATCAATTGTTGGATAATACACACCCCTATGATCTTGAATATAAGTGTAGCTATGATTATTAGTGTCCAAATATAATGAGTGTTTCAAGATGCAAAACTTGCACAGTGCCCCCTAGTGGCTCAAGTTATTGACGTTCCTTTCCCTTCCCCAAAATTTGCAGCCATTTTTCCTTCACTTATCTGAATACCTGTCACCTAGGAATACTACCAACTAAATTTGTTTGAAATCTAACAAACAATTATAGAGAAGAAATTGATAAAAGGAATGTTTACAGAAAACAGACAGCAATGGATTGCACTACCTCGCATGGACCTTCAGGCCAAGTGAGTTAAAAGATTTTAAAGACTGCGTACCTTGTGATACTCTAATGCAAAAGTAACTATATCTCAATATAGTAGATGCATTTAGAAATAATCTCAAGAGCAATGACAAACATTTGTATAGTTACAGTGACCTTGATCTTAGCACCCTGGATCACAATTGGTTAGTGGATTTGTTTTAGTTGGCCAATATATCAAACTTGATCAAATTCTATTCAGAATTGATGACTAAGCCTTTCTTTTAACAGTAATGCCTTATGCTGACCTTGACCATCACACCCTGAAACACAAACTGTTCTGAGGTAACTTTCACACTCTGAAACAAACTTGGTTGAGGCGTTCTCATATTTGACCACTACCGTAAAAACCCATGTAATTTGCGCACCTGTGTAATTTGCGCAGGTACTTTTTGAGGCTGAAAATCGGGAAAAAGCTTCTACTCGAATATTTTGCGCACCCAAAAAATCTGGAAAAAAAAACGATGTTCATGCTCCGAAAATCGATCTCTGAATATTTTTTTTTAAAATATATTTCTATGATTTTTTTTCCTTGATTTAAAATGATATTTAAAACCAAGAAGAAACTACGTAAAATGTGTATTTCGTTGCTTGTTTTCTTTGAATTATCTGATCACACATGACACACACGTGTGCGCATATCGGCATACATCAATTCATTTTAGCAATATTTTACATTAACATTTACTTGCTTACAAAACATATCAATTAATAAGTAATTCGATGTTTAATAACCGCTGGTGCATATCTCCTGGAGAAAGACATAATTAGATACCTTTTATTGATCATAATTACGATCAGTGAGAAGGGCTCATCATGGCAGCTTAGGTTACGTCACTTCAAACCAGGTCATGTCACAGATCAGTTTGGCCACGGAATTAGATTATCTAAGTCTGTGGTTTGGCGATATTTTTTACAAATTACAATGCAGTAATTAGCTAACACTATCTCTGTGATTACCCGTTAACAATAGCTCTACTAATTGAAATGATTTGCAGTCGCGATCGACGGACTGTGTTGTTGTTTTTTCACTCACCAACACGTGGCGTAAATTACGAAGCCCTACTGCATTGTCATAACAGACTGATTTGACTGATAAGGAATTATAAAAAATATGTTTATACTAGAAGCGTGGACAATCAAAACATCCTCTTCAAATCTACTCCAAGGAAAAAAATAGTTAACGCAGACTATTTTTACGATGCTTCATTTAATAAATATTGAAATAATTCACGAGGTTATTATCAATCACGTGTTTACGTAATGTTAGACGCGAGATCAACATGAACGTGAGCCGTAAAAAAACCATGCTATACGTTTACGCATAGGCGATTTGAAAAAAACTTACAGAACTTACATGGAACGGAACTTAAATTGAACAACTACATTTTCGTAATAGTATGGGGAAACGTACCGAGATGTCGAAACGTAATGTCGTAAGTTGATCGGCGATTCTCTGGCATAGGAATTTGGCTAAACTTTTTTTGTTAACGGTTACCTATTTAATAATACTTTTCACATAAACTCACATAACAACACATTATGTATCTTTTATTAATGTTTGACATAAATAAATTTGTTGACCGTCATTTGTCTTAGAGTTCCGTGTATAATAAATAAGGGAAATAATCTAAGATGGCGATCTCCCAGAATCGTCGATCTTTTCCTGAAAAAAAACTTGAAATTTTCTATACCTGTGTATTTTACGCACCCCCCACTTTGGGTATTAAATTTCTAAAAAAAAAAGTGCGCAAATTACATGGGTTTTTACGGTATATCATAATCTGTTCATAAATGAAGTTGCTAGAACAGTGACAATTTTCATAAATAATTATTGTGAAGTGACTTGACGCCCTGACACACAAACTTGTTTACAGTAGTCTTGTACTTGACCAACAGATTAAGTTCTATTGAAATCTGTTCCGAAAAGATACTCGAGAGGTGGTAAAAGGTGAACACATATGTACAAATGGAAGGCTATACCCCCTACATGACCTGGTCGTGAGGGGGTAATTATATTTATATCCTACACATTAATATCATTATCAGAGTACCCGGCATTTTATAACTAATCTAGTTAAGGCGAAGGGAGACAACTTCTACAGGCCTAGTAAAATAGAAATATATAGTATACCTCTTCCGCCCCTTCCTCCTCTGCCAGCTCCTTTAGGTTGAGGTAAAAACCTTTGAAGAGGTAATAATTTCGCTGGATCTATGAAGAACTGAGGATAGAAAGGAATTAAAATAGTTTGAAGTAACGTGTAGCATTTACCATATTACATGGTACATCAATAAATTTTACTTCAAGAGATAATACCCTAAAATATTGAAAATAAGCCATGGCTAATTTTTGTTTTTGATATAGAACTTCAGGCTTATTTTTCGAAGCCAACTAGACTGTAAGAATGATGTATGGCTTATTTTGAGACTTTCTTACTTTTTAAACAGTCGATACCATAGTTGCATTATAGTTAAAATATATTCAGAACTATTCGTCATTACATCGTAAAAATTCAACTTTTTTTGGTGCTGATTTGTAAAGAGCAAATTCCATATCTATAGGTATTTGCAAGTCTTCCATTGATTGCAAATTTACTGCAAGAAGTCCAAGGTATAATTTCAAGACCAGCATATGTTCGAAACTGGCTTGTTTTCAAGATATATTTCCCTTCAACAAATCCAAGGTTTATATTCAAACCCGGCATATTTTCAAATTAGGCTCATTATTGAGTTTTTCTGTTCTGTTTTCTTGAAACATTAGAATCATGTCGTAATGACATAGCTTTAGATGATATTTTGTTTCATCAATATTACGGTAAACTGATCAAAATCTATCTTCACAACCTTGAGTAAACTCATAAAGATGTATAACCTTTCAGCCTACAGCCATATAAACTGACACTTACCTTTGTATCTTTTGTAAATGATTTTGACTTCATATCATCAGAGAGTTTCACCGACACATACTTTGATTGTAAAGGATAACATTTTTGAAAAACAATTCAAATATGATTTTGATATTCATTATAAATTTAAAAAGAAATACATGACATATTTATATTTCATGTCCATTAATATATGAACATGCAAGAAAATATCAATTTTGTACAAAACAAGCAAATTTGTGGAATGTTTATCCCCCGCTTTATATCTACAGCTTTATTTTCACCTGTTTCAGTTAAAAATTCACTACCCCATTATTATTCTCTTTATTTCCTCCAAATCGAAGATTCACAAACAGAACAATACATTTATGCATTCATTGAAGATTGACAAAGTTACGTACATGTTTTATGACAATACACAAACAGAAATTCAAAAGATAAATTGTATTGTAAAGTAAGGGTTACTCCGGAGTTAACTCCCCTTTGCGTCATTACGCTCTTTAACTTACTTAAAAGCTACTTAAGAGAGATGACCATCATACGAAATACAGAAAAAGGAAAAATGTTACAATTGACACATATAGATTAGGTTAAGACATCATTTGTAGTAAAGTTTGCACATTCTGAATATACAGGTTACAGTTTTTATGCGAAAGTCATCTAACTCCGATGAATTCAACTCATGCTCTACATTTCCTCCAATGAGGATATGAAACATATCATAATCAGACATGGAATGTAAGTACACACTAAACATTATGTCTTTTATATTTATAATATCACACCATAAATTATCTCTTAACTCTCCTGTATAATCACATTGTAGAACTATATGGGTGGCTATATCACTGTACATAAAGCCACATTTATGACATAATTCTTTACCCTCACACCCTCTGATAGTTACAATTAATTTCATGACATATTGTATAGCTTCTCTTTTGGCTGGGAATTTAAATGCCAGTCTCCATAATACATGTGGAACTAAATGATCATGGATAAGAGAAAATCTAGTAAACTCGCCATCATTGGCCATTCTTTCTCGACACGCTAATTCCTCTACTGAGTATATGGCATTTTTTACTTTACCACGCCACATACATTTAGACGGAAAAGCACAGTTAGTTATAAAATCATTAAACACTTCAAACAATTTATACTTTTGCAGTATTCTTAGTATATCAACTGCAAACCCTTGTCTATTTGAACTTAACTTAGATTCTATATCAACGAGAAAATATTTTGCAAAGAATACACGAGACGACACATTCGTCTTATCTAATCTACATAACCTACCTAGGAACAACAATTTCTTAGTGTCTATATATGATTCTTGACTGGTCCATCCAAGTAGACTTGTACACATATCTGTATGGGTTTTAGTCTCAAAACCTTGTATTGCTTTCAAGATGAAATGTTGTGCTCTTTCAAGCATATAATCTGTAATGAACAGCGATATACAAAATCAAAAATGTAATCTATGCTCCCTCTTATACTTTCCCTCTGGCTCTGGCCTGCAGGCCTCACTGGACAGGTCATGCACCTACAGCACATATTTTCCCCTATTTTAAAAAAGGGTAATAACTTTCTGTTCCTGTATAAATCCCTGGTATATGGAATACATCATTTCTCAAATATTTCTCAAACTTGTTTTTCAGAAATGTGTACTCAGATCTAGCCAAATATGTTAGAGTGTGGTCGTAGGTTGGCTTAGCTTTGGCATTCACTGAACAATGGATGGTCAGTTGGTGTAATGGATAGTGCACCAGCTTTTACCAAAATGATCATGGTATGATTCCCGGATCATACATGAGAAGTTAGGGTCACTTGCCCGTCTAAATGTTTTCCTCCATTTTCCTCCAACATGAAGACAACATGCATGCTTCTGTCTGAGGAGCTATGAAGTGTTGATAAAACTTGACCTAATGTCAAAGTTAACCAATCACTTACCTGTAATTTATAGAACCATTAAATTACTGAACTGAGTGAACCATTGTTAAAGGATACATAGTCCTTGATGGATCCAAATATCTCATCCACCTTTCCTATCTGTTGCTTGTTCTCCAGGTACAGAGGAGCATTGAAATAGGGGATCTTCTGGTTTGTACATTTACACACTAAATCATCCTCACATGGGTGCACAAAGTGACACAGCTCTGTAATAAATCCATAGTAAAAACAATTCAGGATTGATCTTGCAGGCAGTATATGAATTATCCTCAAAGAAAATAAATTGAAATAAATTAATTGAAGTGAGAACAAATATTCTTAACTGACCAAAAGGACAAAATGTGAAGTAAATCTGCACTATTGTTTCTGAGGTCACACACCCTAGCTCAAGGACAGAAAAGGTCTATATAGCTAGCTGCTAGCTAGTTTACAAATTAGTTACAAAAATCAGAGAAACAGAGTGATATGACTCTAAGAGTGATGGTCTGGATCTTACCCATAACTTCAGCTGGAGGTCCATAGTCCTGGTATCCCCCCCGTCCTCCTAATAAAAAGTAATTAATACATGTATTAACTGTTAAAAATAACAACAAATAATTTCTCTCTTTAAAGCACTTAGCCAAATTAAATGCAAATAACATATGTGTTCAGAGGAAAAAACGGTCCTGAGGGCCTGTATAGCTCACCTGGATATTTAACCAATCATGACAAAATATTTTCATATATTTCCATTTGCTTTGCATTGCCACTATATAACCTTACCAAACAAAATATAAAGATATCAGATCATGATTCTCACATAAATTGCATTGGTGTAGTGATATGAAGAACATGTTCGTGATGTTGTGACTAAATGACGTTGTTTTGACCGACGTCACTATATTAAGTGTATTATTGATGTTATGAAAAATAACAATACACATTCCTCGTGGTAACCCATTTGTGCTACCGGATTAAAAAACCCAACTGTTCAATGTAACTTGCAACAATATACGTTATTATGTTGTTTAAAAGCCTTGAATATCCTCACAGAGGAATATATTGATTAAATTGTTGAAATTAAATTGATGATTTTGTGTTTATTTCCATGAACTATATTTTCTTGCCAGGAACGGTCGTGTGTTCTCATGACGTCACAAGAACAAGTCCCATTGACAGACAGCAGGAAATTTGACATATTAATTTGACATATTAATTTGACATATTAATCATAACGCGCTAACGTGCGTTATTCAATTTGTCTGCAATCATGTGAGAATTATAGGACAATAACTTTCCAAAGAAGGCAGTTTAATGCTTAATAATAGATTACAAATGTTTCTCATTTTGGGGTCAACTTCTCAGACAGGACTTTCAATAGACCCTTGTCTATACTGTACGTATTTTACTTCCCCAAATAATAAGCTCTGTTCTATAGCAAGTGTATTCAAAATCCACTGAGCCATTCAGGACCAGATTAATTTTTGAATTAAGGCCTTTGTGTATGATGCTAGTCAAAAGCAGATTGCGTTCTTTGCAATGAACATCAATTCAGTTAAATATGAAATGCAAAAAAGAAGTTTATAAATATCTTCTTGATACACAGCCTTTTACAGCAGCCTTGTTAAACAAAATACATGTATAATAAGTGTAATTTTTTTCCAGGCTTAAATATCTTACCTCTTCCACCTCTGGCACCACCTCCTCTAAATCCTCCGCCTCTACCACCCCCTCCTCCAAATCCACCTCCACCTCCTCTAAATCCACCACCGCCGCCACCTCCTCTGCCACGGAAACCTGGTGGTCCCATTTTACTGAAACGTCAATGTGCATATGACACCAATGGATTTCTGATGAATATAAGACAAAGTATTAGCACTAGTCTAAGCCTTCATCGGGATGTTAAAACTTGTCTGTTAACAGGTCCAGTACACTCTGCCAATTGAGCTATATAGCTGTAAAGACCTATAATAGCTCTATTGACCTATCTGAAAAAGGTCTTTTGAGCTCTTTTCAAGTGATTTTCTTCTTTTAAGGAAAACGAAACAAATTTGCTTTTAAAAGTAGATTGTATCATTAGGTTGATAACAAAAGACATAAATATAAGTATTCTTTTTAAAAAATAATGATGCAAAAAAATCGGAAATTTACATTTATGAAAAATGAAAATAAACATCTAACTGTATGCTTTTTTTGTAGTCACCATTACCAAAAACCTTATTGTTTTATGCGACTTTGCTTTAATTTAATGAAAATTGAAATCTGAGAAAATATAGCTCAATACAGCTATAATTTATAGGTGTATATCAGGTCCAGTACACTCTGCCGATTGAGCTATATAGCTGTAAAGACCTATAATAGCTCTATTGACCTATCTGAAATAGGTCTTTTGAGCTATTTTCAAGTGATTTTCCTTTTTAAGGAAAACGAAACAAAGTCGCATTTAAAAGAAGATTGTATCATTAGGTGATAACAAAAAACATTAAATATAAGTATTCTTTTTAAAAAATAATGATGCAAAAAAATCGGAAATTTACATTTATGAAAAATGCAAATAAACATCTAACTGTATGCTTTTTGTAGTCACCATTACCAAAAACCTTATTGTTTTATGCGACTTTGCTTTAATTTAATGAAATTTGAAATCTGAGAAAATATAGCTCAATACAGCTATAATCTATAGGTGTATAGCTATATAGGTCTTTATAGCTATATATATAGTGTACTGGACCTGTAGGACCTGGTTAATAGTAACACTGTTTGTGTTTCAAACGTTTACAGAAGAGTTTTTTTCTAGACGGCAGAATATCGGGGCCACTGGCACAGTTGATTAGTGAATTGATTAATTAGTTATGACTGAATATGTGCAATTGAGTATTCCACCGTAACGCCAACATGGAAATTGCGTGCCCCTTATTGGCGGGGACTGGGTGCATACAGATTAAAAATATAAGGCAACGCCAGACATTCCACTGATTCTCAAACACACTAGAGTACGAAATATAAAGTATCAAACGGAGTTTGTAGAGCTATCAACACGACAATCCGTGATAACGTAAGTAAATAACATCAAAATTAGTAAATCTACTTACAGACTACGTTGTTGTAAAATACACGTGCTTCCGGTACTGGTAAACACGCATGCGTGATGTATGTGTCGTGAAAATAATATTATGGTGAGCTCAGTGTATGCATTTTTAGACAATGTTATGATACAGATAAATAAGAGCCTCGATTTTGCTCATTGATTTAAACTAATAATAAATATTTTTGTTTCAAAATGAAATCAAGCGCCCTGCTTTACGGTTATCCCAAACATCTACATCACTTGAGCGTTTGGATAGCACAAGTTAACCGCCATAACGTTGGAGCGTTAAGTTGATAGAAATAACGTTTTCGTCCGACACAATGCCGAAGGATAGCAGGTATAAAATAGATCAAAATTTTGCACATTTGTTGACCTTAATACGATTGATTGGTAACATGTGCCGTCAGTAACGTTTCGAGTGTTCTCCCGTTAGACTTGGAAGGGATTACAGGCAGCATTGAGTCCATTTGTCCCGTGTACTTGTTCTCACTGTTACTGTTAGTTTCACTGGCACTCGATCCCGAACCCCATCCGATACAATCTCTTACATAAGTATACACTTTCATTAAAATTACGTAAGATACCGTAATATGTTTTACGGCCCGGCCGTTAGTGAGGGCGGAGCCAGGTTGTACTGTAAATGTTTCGGAATATCGGTACTGTAAACTTTCAAGCATTGAGTGATGTGTTGAATGACTAAATCAGACCTACATGTATAGCTAAACAGTGTATATTACAGTTAAGTTTCCTTTCTTGATTTCTTTTTGGCTGACAAGATGTTTGATATCTTGAAGTTTTCCGCCCAGGCGTATGATGACATGACATTAATGTGAGAATGCGAAAGGTTCATTAGACTCTATATAAGTATTTAAATTTGCACCTCTTGAATCCATTGCAAAAATCAAGTGCAGCATATTCTACAAAGACATTGAAATAAAACATATTAGGATGGATATTGTTAATCATGTATAATAGCATAGGTATCTGATATCCATGAAAAGATATACATATATATATATATGTATATATCTTCACGAATAAGCCCTTTGGATTACTTCAAACTTAACTTCAATGATTTATAAATATTGCATCCAGAGAGAATTTATGCAAAGTATTTTACAATTTTTGTGCTTTTTATGTGTAAAAATTAATTTGTTCAATGCTATAAAAACTGGATTTATATGAAGTTTCTATTAAAATAAGAAGCATATGCGAAATCACAATTTTTGTCATTTTTCAATACCCATCATTGCAGCCAAGAGAGTCAATAGATCTATATATCATATATATATTGTGGATGAATACATTTGTTTCAGTAACTAACTGACTATATGCTTTATATGTCTCTGCTTTATGTATAGTTTTAGCAATAGAGAAAATGTATTGTTTCCTCAATTAGAATTTGAATCATAAAATTGTATAGTTTGTTTTTTTAAATCGTGCAGATTTGTAAAACAGCAGATTTTCTTTTATTAATAAAAAATAGCTGTGAGATAGTAATCAAAAATGAAAATGTTACAGTATGGATTCAATTTTTTTCTTCAGTCTATTTTTTTCATGCAAAATATCAATAAAAAAAATCTTATGAAAATACTTGTATGTTTTTTATCCTATCGTTTTGCGTCACTGTGATAAACTCCCTTTTTGTTGACAACCAGCACGTTGTTTTGTTGATATTCCGTTTTCTAAATATATATATATACCACTGCAATCTCTACCCAGAGTTGTCGTCGGGAGTGCAAGGACCGTAACTCTGCGTGATAGTCTCGTTCAACCAGACTCTTGTTGTCTGCGCAAGCGTCTGATTGAACGAGACCACACTGCCGATACCATAATATTTCGACCATTCAGAACTAGAGCAATGTAGCCGGTAACGTTATGTCAAGAGAATTTACATCTTTAACCAAATCAAATATTTAAGTATCCTATAGTTAGATATAAGTTTTAAATCTTACAAAAATGTAACGTTTGTTCGAGATTCGGCAAACGAGAACTTGTTTCGAGATCAAGATGGCGGAGACTACAGCGCGTGCGACTGGCGGCCATGTTACGACAAGTTTTTCAGTTCCATAGTTATTGTGAATAATCTTTATTTTTTTTACATACGTGTTACCTATAGGGAGAGCTTCGCTCTCACGGGCCCGAAGGGCCCGTGAGAGAGCTCCGCCCTCTATCAAGGGTAAATCATAATTGAATGACCGTTGTTTGTTACTGGTCACAATCAAGGGTACAATTTACTCCAATAACAAAAGAGGTCGGCCTTTTTTCTATCGGATGTAACGCGGCGCCTGTCAAAGGTATCTCGCCGTGTAAACCTCTAACATTGTTGGAGTAAGGTACAATTGTACTAGCCTTGCCTGCAGTGGGTCACACAAGTAAGGTTATCCATCCTAAATTTCAACACCTAATAATTCAATACAAATCATCATTACAAATTATACGAAATAAAATCAAACTCAAAATTTGACTCAACACCAAGTTACTGGACAATATACTTAAATCACAGATAGCAGTCTAGCGAAACATACATTCTAAAACACATGCTATTTATACTTTACATTAAAAATGCTGTAGCATACCTGTGTGTTGCACAAGGCCGTGGCTACAACCTATACACTGCCTACTTAATTGTATGCGATATACTGTAATTTAAATAAAAGCTATCTAAATAAAGTTATCGAACCTTAACGTAATGACGTCTTTAACGTTTTAAAAGCTAAAAAAATACATTAATCATATATGATTTTTTTATTAAGAAATCCCTAGATATTACTCCAATAAAACACTACATATATACATTGGGTCACACACAGACAAAGGAAACACTTACATTACATCTCTCCGTCCTACAAGTCCTCAAAAGATACTGGCATGATTTATTAGCCCACAAAGAAACATGTGCCAACACTGAACACCCAGAAAGAACTATTGAAATCACATACACAACTTTACGTAACACTGACAGTGACTAATAAACAACTATGTGATATACCAACTTATAGACATACGTAACGAGCAAAACATCACAATATATGACATCACAGCATAGAATAAAACAAATGGACATGGTGTAGTTACATTACAGGCCAAGAGAGTGAGAAATATATACATGGACAGTCTGCGCGCTACGGACGGACTTGGTAAACAAACATACATAAATTCTATCCCTGCCACAGTTATATGAATATAATGAGCTTGTACATTAGTTATTAAGGTGGCTCCACACATCGTCATCAGCGTCCATTTTCGTGACGTACTTCCAGAAAAAGTACAGCTCGGACTCAATTATCTTGATCGAAATGTGCATGTACACCGTGTCGTCATTTCTGTATTGCGTATCGAGCATTCAATATCATAGTGCAAATTATAGTAACAACTGGGCGGTTTTCGTTTAAACAGTCAAACCGACCGGACCACTGTTGTTTGTTTAATAAATAAGGTTGCACCTAGTAATCTGATGCTGCTTTCAGGCGAGCTTTGAGAAGGCCTTGCAAGGCCTGCATACACATTTGCAGGTCAGCCAGGATTTATACCCGAAATTGTTACATTTATAAACAGTCAAACCGGTTGTTCCGCATAATCGAACAGGCCCCTGGTAAACAATAGTAGACGTGCGTGCCGATGATATGTCAACACCCGATATCAAGATTTTACCGGGAAATGTTTAACCACACGTACTTCAGGAATAAAGCTTTCCAATTTATAGACATAAACAGACTCACAGGAAGACAGTGACATGAGACCAGACGACCTCAAGAAGGTCATATAGGAAACACATGGAATGCGTCGATTAAATCGTTTTTACAAATGTAGTTTACTTACTCAGTGAAAATAATGTTTTGTAAAATATCAAGATCCCTATGAAATGCATGTGTGAGAATTATAAATATACCGTGAGTTAGCGGACTGTGGAATGATGTCCAAAGTGTACATGACTGAGAGTAATTTGGTTCTAATAAAGAACAATAAATTGATAATTTTGATATCATATTTTTGATTTATTTCCATCATTTTTGTTATATGTAAACAGAGTCAACTGTCATTGTGTAAATTTCATCCCTCTGCAAAATGTTCCGATTTTTTTCAAGGAAGATAACTCTCACCCGGATCAAAGTGATTGTAAAATGTAAAATAAATTAATTATAAATCCATTGTGTATATTTTGTTCAATTTCCCACTCTATATGTATAGATCTTTGTGTCCTGTTTGCTTATAGCTTGTAGATATAATCACTTTCATCCGTACAAACTCAATAAAAAACACTTTGTGTAACATGTGTTAGATATTTTGCGATTAATAAAAGTATTTGTAGGGTAAATTAGAAATGCTTCTTTTCATTTTTTTTATTGTTGTTATTGTCCCGAACAATGCCACACACACACACACAAAAAACGGAAAATATTAAAATTGACGAAAATTCTATTTTTATGTATTTTTTCCAAAAAAGTCCCCAAACTAACGGAATGTTTAGACTTTCATAAAATCAACTCTACATAGTTGCATAACCATTATATGAAAGTTTCAACGAATTTTGCTGGTTAATTGCGAAAGTGTGGAGCCACCTTAAAATGTTACATAGCCATGCTAATAGCCATGTAAGCATAGTCAATAATGTGGCGTTAAGGCTGATGTCTTCATAAAAATAACTTATAACATGTCAATCTCTTCTGCAATCCAACTGAATGCTGGGAGATGATATGTACTATCTCTACATCTGAAGCTAAAATTTGTAGTTTTTGATATATATTTTTTTTTTAAGTGATGACAACATTTTTTAAATAAACAATTCCATAGTTAATCAAAATTGTCCCATTGCAGTCCTTGTTCCCAAACATTTGTTCAGATGGCGGGTATAATAATGTGATATTCCTCCTCTGCTGTCTGACAGTTGTATAGAAAGCCCCAGTTACTGTGACAATAGTTAGCATATTTTGAAAAATCATTTTGTTCAGTGAACCATAGGATGTCCAGGGATACTTAACATCAGATATGCTTGACTAATTTTAATGCCTTCATGAGTAAGGATAATTGCACAGTAGGTTTCACCATATGACACACAGAGGGTTTCTGTCAACTGCCCTGTGGGAGTGTAAGACCTTCTAAAATGATAGACCCACCAAATGTTAGAGGCTTGTTTATCCTTGATTTTAAATCCTGGACCAACTTATATCAACATATACCAATAATATGTATGTCTGGCAATAACACTGACACTTGACTGTTTGTTACAACTCAATTGAATAATTGTTATAGGGAATTTTTCATGAATTTCCACTGTACATTCTCAATTCAAGATATTTTATTGTTTCAAAAAGGATAAGACAACAGACTTTTAAATTGTACGAAACCAAATTCCATAAAAGATAGTTAATTATTTTGTATATTTCATTTGCTTTTATTCCATGAAATAATCATAACCTAATTGTGTTGATCCCAAACTGACACCTAAAATAATATTTTTCTACTTGCGCAGATCATACAGGAAAAGGTCTAGATCAAGAAGTGGATCAAGAGAAAGGAAACGTTACAGAAGTAGGTCCAAAAGCACTGATCGATCACGAAGATCAAGGTCAAGAGACAGATTAAGACGATCAAGATCCAGGGAAAGAGATAGGGACAGGTCTAAGAGATCCAGGTCACGGGATAGGCGAAGGTCAAGATCAAGGGACAGAAGACGGTCAAGGAGTCGAGAGAGAGATAGGAGAAGGAGGTCAAGGTCACGGGATAGGGACAGAGATCGTAGATCACGATCAAGAGAACGGAAGTGAGTGTCATTTTGTTAAGTTTTTCAACAAGAAGCTTTCTTTATTAAGGTCAAATCAAAAACAAACTATAAGGTTCATTAATAGTGGTATCTGGCATGTACATTTGATCAAATTGACCATTAATTTGTGAACTCATATTGACAGGCATAATCTGTGTTGTGCAGTGATGTTAGTTATAGCATTAGAACTTAACCATATCTTGTTTTATGATTGCAGTATATATATATAATTTTTTCTGTTGTTGAAAAGGAGAGACAAGAGGTCACGTTCTAAAACACCTGATAAATCCAAAACAAAGGGGGAGACATCACCAGAAAGAAAATTGCAGTTTAGAGAGGGAGAATTAAGCGTGAGAGATGAACCACTTGACAAGGAGGAGGAACAGAAAAGACTGGAGATGGAAATGCAAAAACGAAGAGAAAGAATAGAGCATTGGAGAGCAGAAAGGAAAAAGACCAAAGAGCTTGCCCCTATTAATATTGCCCCTCCCACAAAGATTTGGAGTTTAGAAGATGACGAAGACGATGATGACATAGTTGATAATGGGTCAAAGGATGACGATGATGAACTGGACTCTTTGGATGCCTATATGCAGGTGAGTGATTTGATTTATTATTTGTCTCTGATAGCAATGTCATTACTTCTCTTTCATTACTTAGCAACGCAATGTAAAGCATTGTTACATGTCATCATAATCAAAAGACTGGTGTGTTACATAAAGGTTCTCTAACAAGTGATGGTTGGTTATCTCGAGTTATCTAACTTTAAATTTCATAAAGACACAAGGTTTACCGAGTGCCTTTAACAATTTAAAAATTGACTGATTAACTGAAACTATCATCTTTTTGTTTGCAGAATATTGAGGACAAACCAAACCGAGATAAGGAACAGAAATCTGGCATCAAAACAGAAAACGGTACAAATGTAAGTACATTCAGTCTGTTGGTCTCTCAGTGCTATATGTCATTCTAACTAAAGACCATATACAGGTATAAGTACATTCAGTCTGTTGGTCTCTCAGTGCTATATGTCATTCTAACTAAAGACCATATACAGGTATTAGTACATTCAGTCTGTTGGTCTCTCAGTGCTATATGTCATTCTAACTAAAGACCATGTACAGGTATTAGTACATTCAGTCTGTTGGCATCTCAGTGCTATATGTCATTCTAACTAAAGACCATGTACAGGTATTAGTACATTCAGTCTGTTGGCATCTCAGTGCTATATGTCATTCTAACTAAAGACCATGTACAGGTATTAGTACATTCAGTCTGTTGGCATCTCAGTGCTATATGTCATTCTAACTAAAGACCATGTACAGGTATTAGTACATTCAGTCTGTTGGCATCTCAGTGCTATATGTCATTCTAACTAAAGACCATGTACAGGTATTAGTACATTCAGTCTGTTGGCATCTCAGTGCTATATGTCATTCTAACTAAAGACCATGTACAGGTATTAGTACATTCAGTCTGTTGGTCTATCAGTCCTATATGTCATTCTAACTAAAGACCATATACAGGTATTAGTACATTCAGTCTGTTGGTCTCTCAGTGCTACATGTATATGTCATTCTAACTAAAGACCATATACAGGTATTAGTACATTCAGTCTGTTGGTCTCTCAGTGCTATATGGAGACCAGTTTCTTTATGACATACAACTGCAGGTAATGTCTGATTTTGATAAGACTAACATTTACATGACAAAATCAAATATAAACAATTATTTCAATTGTCCTTGTTTTCAGGCCGAGACCAGTTCTACTGCGGCAGTGGGTAAGGTGACCATGATTACAGGCGTGGTGAAAACAAAAACTGACACATCGCTACAAAAAGGAGAACTTATGTTAAACAATGTGGATGCAATGGAGGTAGGCTTTACTATCACCTTCACAATTAATTATCCCAAACTTTATTGTCTTTGTGATTCCTAAACAGAAGTCAAACTCTAGGCTTAAACTCTATATCCCCACTTGGAATGAGGCCTGAAGTCCGAATTACAGGTATTTGCCCTGTGCTTTCGTGCAGACTTAGATTTGGCTTTTAGGTACATCATGGGGAGATGCTGTACTGTGTACCAAAAGGAGAACGCAACAATCTCCATTTTACTTTAACCTGAAATTTAAATACTGAAATATCCTGTTAATGTACATATTCTACAACTAGTACCAGGCAGAAGTGTTAAGTATGGTCTACAGATATACAAAACAGTTAAGTATAGTCTACAGATATACAAAACAGTTAAATATAGTCTACAGATATACAAAACAGTTAAGGATGGTCTACAGATATACAAAACAGTTAAATATGATCTACAGATAGACAAAACAGTTAAGTATGGTCTACATATATACACAACAGTTAAGTATGGTCTACAGATATACAAAGCAGTTAAGTATGGTCTACAGATATACAAAGCAGTTAAATATGATCTACAGATATACAAAACAGTTAAGTATGGTCTACAGATATACAAAACAGTTAAGTATGGTTTGCAGATATACAAAACAGTTAAGTATGGTCTACATATATACAAAACAGTTAAGTATGGTCTACAGATATACAAAACAGTTAAATATGATCTACAGATATACAAAACAGTTAAGTATGGTCTACAGATATACAAAACAGATACAGCCCCACATGTTAAGTATGGTCTACAGATATACAAAACAGTTCAATATGGTCTACAGATATACAAAACAGTTAAGTATGGTTTGTCCAAAGTTTGTCCAAATGAATGACCTTGACCCACTTTCAAGGTCACAGGGATGAAATGTCTTAAAATCTTCAAACGACTTCTCAATAACCAAAAGGCACAGGGTACTGATATTGGGCCTGTAGCATGCTGAGATGAAGGGATACCAAGTTTGTTCAAATGAATGACCTTGATCAATTTTCAAGGTCAAAGGGGTCAAATGTTTAAACTCTTCTAACAAATTCTTCTCAATAAGCAAAAGGCCCAGGGTACTGATATTGGGCCTGTAGCATGCTGGGATGAAGGGCTACCAAGTTTGTTCAAATGAATGACATTGACTTATATTCAAGGTCACAGGGGTCAAATATGTTTTAAACCTTTAAACAACTTCTTCTCAATAAGCAAGAGGCCTAGGATAATGCCAGTAACATGCTTGGATGAAGGACTAGCAAGTTTGTTCAAATGAATGACCTTCACATATATTCAAGGTCACAGGGGTCAAATATGGTAAATACCATTAAACGACTTCTTAATAAGCAAAAGGCCTAGGGTGATGATATTTGGCCATTAGCATGCTGGGATGAAGGACTACCAAGTGAATGACCTTCACCCATATTCAAGGTCCGTTGGCAATATATGTTTAAATGTTTAAATGATTTATCTGTATAACCAAAAGGTCCAGGGTAATGATATTTTGCCAGAAGCATGCTGGGTTGGAAGACTATAAATTCTGTTTAACCTAATGTCCTTGTTTGACATTCAAGGTCACAGGCGTTGTACGTTTAAATCTTTTAATAGGTTCTTATGAATCAAACACTGATATTCTGCCTGTAGCTGTATTTTAGTCCACTTTTAAGAATATAAGTGTGAGATTAATACCAGGTGAGCGATGCAGGCCCATTGGGCCTCTTGTTAAGAGGAAAACTCCTTGAAGATGTCTCACAACTTGTCACACTGTTACATATGTCTTTATGTCATTTCAGTATTCATCAGAAGAGGAGGAAGAGGATTTAGACTCGACTATGGCAAAAATTAAAAACACTAAAAAGGTAATTTTACTGATTATGTAGAATCTAGAGCAGTTGAATGTGTTGTATATTTTATAATTTGATAGACCAGACACAGGAACTAGACCAGGCACAGGAATTTGATAGCCCAGGCACAGGAATGAGACCAGGCCCAGGAATTTGATAGACAAGGCACAGGAACTAGGCCAGGCACAGGAATGAGACCAGGCCCAGGAATTTGATAGACCAGGCACAGGATCTAGACCAGTCACAGGAACTAGACCAGGCACAGGAATTAGACCAGGCACAGGAACTAGACCAGACACAGGAATTAGACCAGGCACAGGAACTAGACCAGGCACAGGAACTAGACCAGGCACAGGAATGAGACCAGGCACAGGAACTAGACCAGGCACAGGAATTAGACCAGGCACAGGAATTAGACCAGGCACAAGAATTTGACCAGGCACAGGAACTAGACCAGACACAGGAACTAGACCAGACACAGGAACTAGACCAGGCACAGGAACTAGACCAGGCACAGGAATTAGACCAGGCACAGGAACTAGACCAGGCACAGGAATTAGACCAGGCACAGGAACTAGACCAGGCACAGGAATTAGACCAGGCACAGGAACTAGACCAGGCACAGGAATTAGACCAGGCACAGGAACTAGACCAGGCACAGGAATTAGACCAGGCACAGGAACTAGACCAGGCACAGGAATTAGACCAGGCACAGGAACTAGACCAGGCACAGGAATTAGACCAGGCACAGGAACTAGACCAGGCACAGGAATTAGACCAGGCACAGGAACTAGACCAGGCACAGGAATTAGACCAGGCACAGGAACTAGACCAGGCACAGGAATTAGACCAGGCACAGGAACTAGACCAGGCACAGGAATTAGACCAGGCACAGGAACTAGACCAGGCACAGGAATTAGACCAGGCACAGGAACTAGACCAGGCACAGGAATTAGACCAGGCACAGGAACTAGACCAGACACAGGAATTAGACCAGGCACAGGAACTAGACCAGGCACAGGAATTAGACCAGGCACAGGAACTAGACCAGGCACAGGAATGAGACCAGGCACAGGAACTAGACCAGGCACAGGAATTAGACCAGGCACAGGAACTAGACCAGGCACAGGAATTAGACCAGGCACAGGAATTAGACCAGGCACAAGAATTTGACCAGGCACAGGAACTAGACCAGACACAGGAACTAGACCAGGCACAGGAACTAGACCAGGCACAGGAATTTGACCAGGCCAGTCACAGGAATTTGACCAGACACAGGAATTTGATAGACCAGACACAGGAACTAGACCAGGCACATGAATTTGATAAACCAGTCACAGGAATTTGACCAGGCACAGGAATTTGATAGACCAGGCACAGGAATTTGACCAGGCCAGTCACAGGAATTTGATAGACCAGACACAGGAACTAGACCAGGCACAGGAACTAGACCAGGCACAGGAATTTGACCAGGCCAGTCACAGGAATTTGATAGACCAGACACAGGAACTAGACCAGGAACAGGAATTTGATAGACCAGTCACAGGAATTTGATAGACCAGGCACAGGAATTTGATAGACCAGTCACAGGAATTTGATAGACCAGTCACAGGAGTTTGATAGACCAGGCACAGGAATTTGATAGACCAGGCACAGGAATTTGATAGACCAGACGAGGCACAGGAATTTGATAGACCAGGCACAGGAATTTGATAGACCAGGCACAGACCAGGCACAGGAATTTGATAGACCAGTCACAGGAATTTGATAGACCAGGCAACCAGTCACAGGAATTTGATAGACCAGGCACAGGAATTTGATAGACCAGTCACAGGAATTTGGACACTTTTTGCTGAAAATATAGATTTTTATTGGGTATTTAGTGTTGCTTCCTCGACACTGAAAGTAAGAACATGTTGATCAGGAGTTAAAAATTACCACAAATGCAAATGAATGCTCGAGCAAAATGCATGTTCGAAAATTAATTCTTGGTTCATGTATACTGTTATCTGGAAAAGTTTTCCTGATGAAGTATTAAATTATATCTGCTAAAATTAATTTCACCATTCAAGGTAAAAATGCCACTTATAGTAAGCTGTGCACTGCTATGATAAATTTGTTGGTAATACAGAAAGTGAAAACCTAAAAAAAGTATAAACCAAATTCAGATCGCGGCATTCATTTCCAGAAACAGAGTATGAATTTATGAAATACATTGACCACTACTCAAAATCCTCCTCACATACAATGCTAGTTGTTTGTTGTATTGTAGGAACTGTTGGTCGTGGACCATACAAGGATTTACTATGCTCCATTCCGCAAGGATTTCTACGTCGAAGTTCCAGAAATACGAAAGCTGACAGCAGAAGGTAGACAAAGCTTTTGTCATGGATGTTAACGTAAAGCTTCTTAGCAACAAATTTAGAAATAAACTATTTAGCTATTCACCTGGCCTAAAGGGCTGGTTGAACTTATGCTATAGCTCAGTGTCTGTCTCTCTGTCTTTCCCTCCGTAAATAACTGCTTGTTTATATTTTTGGTATTGCCCTGGCATGTAAATGATTGAGGCCCAGTATGGTGCGAGTCTTTTTCAGCCATTTCTCAAGTTCTTTGTTCAACTTTTACTTTCAAGCAATCGTAGTGAAACTCACCCTCTCATGCTCCTGATCAAGAGTTGTTAGTTTCCTGGTCAATTCAATTCCATAATAAAATGGAGAGATTGTGTACTAAAATTGTATGTGTTTGGTTACAGAGGTTGATGCCTACCGACTTGAACTAGAGGACATTAAAGTACGTGGTAAAAACTGTCCCAAACCAATTAAGTCCTGGGCACAATGTGGCTGCAGCAAAAAAGTCATGGAAGCTTTCAAGAGGTCAGTTATTAGCTCACCGGGTCCGAAGGACCAAGGTGAGCTTATGCCATACCGTGGCGTCCGTCATCCGTCCGTCCGTCTTCTGTCCGTCCGTCGTCCGTCCATCAACAATTTCTTTAAACGACTTCTTTATCTTAACCACTGATTGGAATTTAACTAAATTTGACTAGAAGCATCCCTAGGTGGTTGGGATTCAAAATTGTACAAATGGTGGGGCTGACCCTCAAGGGGGCTGAGGGGCGGGGCCGAAAGGGGGCAATTTGGCTATATTGCTTTAAGCAACTTCTTTGGAACTAAGAGATGGATATCAACCATATTTGACTGGAAGCATCCCTAGGTGGTGGGGATTCAAAATTGGACGATTTTTGGGGCTGACCCCCCGGGCTAAGAGGTGGGGCCAAAATAAGTTTAGCACTTGGAAATGGTTGAGATCCCCACCGTATAACCATATATACAATTGCTAAGTATAAAGAGAAGAATGCACAGTTGCTTCCAGGATGGCCCTAGGGTCTGGCCCCACCCTTGGAGATATAGTCCCTTGGTCATAACTTTGAAACGGTTGAGATCCCCACCCCTGAATTATATATACAATTGTTGGACGTAAAGAGACGAATGCAGTCATGATATTAGAATTGATCCTGGATTGGCCTTGGGGTCTGGCATATTCCCTTGGATCTCATTTGGAGAATATTTTGCCATGATTGCTTAGATATTCAGGTGAGCGATACAGGCCCTCTGGGCCTCTTGTATTACATTTCATAATGTTTGTCAGCTCTTAAAATATCAACTGAAAACAGGTTTCAGATGATGGACTGTATGATATTGTAAATCATAGAATTGTTCAAAACGTTAGTACTGAACTGCCCTATATGTTAACATTTAACTGTTAGAATTGTAACATTCCAGTTGGTTGTCTATCTTAATATTTTTGACAGTAATTTAAAGCTAAATAGTCTCTTTTTGAATATCCAGTGAAAGATAGATGATTTTTGTGAAGCTGTTTAACTCTTAACTGAACATGTTGCAGACATGATTATGACAAACCCACACCAATCCAAGCACAAGCCATTCCTGCCATCATGAGTGGAAAGGACCTGATCGGTATTGCCAAGACAGGCAGTGGTAAAACCATAGCCTTCCTTATCCCAATGTTCCGTCACATCAAGGACCAACCAGAACTGGATGAGGATGATGGACCTATAGGTGCGTCAAGTCACATGACATACAAGTCTTAAACATGTCCACAATAATGTATGGGGAAGGTTGTGTTTATAAAATCTCATTTCATTACACATACTTGCCTACTTTTTGAAATTTCCATGGGGGAGATTACCCTTGCTTAGAATTAAAAACATAAAAGGTGTGAATATATGACACCAGGAAAAAATAGCACTTTTAAATTGCATCTAATAAGCTCTTTTACCAGATGAAGTCATCAGATCTTAGAAAATAAGAATAGTTAAGAAAAGTCATTAGTTGTAAATGCTAAATTTTAAGGCAAAATATCAGGAGTCTCCCTCCAAAATATCAATAGTCTCCCTCCAAAATTGGGAGGGTTGGCAAATATGATTACAGGATATTTCATTGTACAGATCTTATAGGAATTGGGCGACAGGCATAGCCTATGGAAGCTCTCTCCTTAGAATTATAAACAGTGCACACACATATGTAAGTAATGATCGATACCTACAAAACTTTAATATTAATCTGCCATTAACTTTAATATCCACCAAAGATCCCAATAATCAATACAAGTGTTGTACTTAACATCAGATAACTTTTATGTGATGCTGAATTTTTAAATATTATTAAATCAACAATAGATAAAGTCAAGCTGCAGTACTCGATACCTGTTTATAACATAGATAATATCAATAATATACCTTTAAAACACTGCACTGTGCTATTGAACTCTGATTGCTCTGTGTGCAGGATAATGTTTGGCCATGTGACATTTTTGAAACTCATTAGTCTTTTGTCAGTATAGTTAGTGACAAAGCTGGATGATATAATTTAGTGAGAATTGTGTTGCACTTTCATAAAAAATGTTTTTTTGCTAATTTATAGCTGTTGTGATGACCCCTACCAGAGAACTTGCCATGCAGATTACAACAGAGTGTAAGAAGTTTGCCAAACCACTGGGCCTTCGTGCTGTTTGTGTGTACGGGGGAACTGGTATCTCGGAACAGATTGCAGAACTCAAGCGTGGCTGTGAGATCATCGTCTGTACTCCCGGACGTATGATAGACATGTTGTCGGCCAATAATGGTGAGTTCCTGAATCTTCGTTAGTAAAGAAGAAAGGTTTATTACAGGTGTGATGTAGAAATATTTGCCATAAAAGAAGTAGGGTCTATTAATGGAAGATAGATCATTGTAACGTAGAGAAATTTTGTAATATTGTAGTAGAGTACAAAATCACAATGCTTTGGTCGCTGTAAAAAATTCCCTGAGATAATATTCCTCAAAATATTTAGACATGGTCAAAATTTCAAAATTAACAATGACAGAATATGAGATGTTTTAAGCATAACAGCGACACTGAACAAGGCAGTGTTATAGTCCAACCTCACCAGGACAACACTTTCTAAACATTCCATGCCAGACTTTAAAATCTGTTTATCTTGTGTTTTTTATATGGTATCTGGAGTAGACGGGTACCTCAATGTACTTCTGACTGGCTTCTAACAAATGCCAGCTGTGTTCCTAATGCTGATTGTGGTAATGGTCCCAGCATAGATTACTACCTATCTGATGAAGCAAAGAGAAAACTCCTGTGGAGATGGAGAGAATGTTGTAGGGCGAGATGGAGAGAATATTGTAGGGCGAGATGGAGAGAATGTTGTAGGGCGAGATGGAGAGAATGTTGTAGGGTGAGATGGAGAGAAAGATGTAGGGCGAGATGGAGAGAATGTTGTAGGGCGAGATGGAGAGAATGCTGTAGGGCGAGATGGAGAGAATGTTGTAGGGCGCTGAATACCACACATGCCGTGTAATCAATCTGTTTCTCTCTATCAGGCATTCTGGTCATTCATATTGTGACCCAGTTATATTTATGTTGACCTTGACCTTCACACTGAAATCATCGGTTGTCTTGGAGATAATAGATGCCAGAAGACTGTTGCCATGGTGATTATCTACAGCCACTACAAAATCAGGAAATGGTTACTAAATATGGTTAACCTTGGAATGGATAAACATTGTATTGAAAAAATCACTGTAACATGTATTTTATGATAAATAGCTTTTAATTGCTGCATAATTGAAAGACAAATTCTTACTCATTCTTGTACCAAATTCTACCTTGATAGTTGTACATCATGTATATTAAATTAGTTTTGAAAACGTATTTTTTTAGCAGTGGTAATGTAATGAATCATTTTAAAGGCAGAGAAAACAAAAGTTTAAATCATTCCAGCACTTAACAATGACGTCTGTTGACAGGAATTAGGATCTGAATCCTTTATTTATCGAATTCTTTATTTACCGGGTATCGATATATATTTTTTCAGGGCGAGTGACTAACCTTCGGCGGTGCACCTACATTGTGTTGGATGAAGCAGACCGAATGTTTGACATGGGTTTCGAACCTCAGGTAAAAAAAATAACAAATGTTTTTATTATCACTAATCAGTGTAATTGGGAGGAACTATAGGATTGCTCTGATGTCATCTCACTGTTCAGGTAGCAATGGAGCCTGCCCGGTATTCTGTTAATGTAGCAATGGAGCCTGTCAGGTATTCTGTTCAGGTAGTAATGGAGCCTGCCCAGTATTCTGTTCAGGTAGCAGTGGAGCCTGTCAGGTATTCTGTTCAGGTAGCAGTGGAGCCTGTCAGGTATTCTGTTCAGGTAGTAATGGAGCCTGCCCGGTATTCTGTTCAGGGAGCAGTGGAGCCTGCCCAGTATTCTGTTCAGGTAGGAATGGAGCCTGTCAGGTATTCTGTTCAGGTAGGAATGGAGCCTGTCAGGTATTCTGTTCAGGTAGGAATGGAGCCTGTCAGGTATTCTGTTCAGGTAGGAATGGAGCCTGTCAGGTATTCTGTTCAGGTAGCAATGGAGCCTGCCCGGTATTCTGTTCAGGAAGTAATGGAGCCTGTCAGGTATTCTGTTCAGGTAGTAATGGAGCCTGCCCGGTATTCTGTTCAGGTAGCAGTGGAGCCTGCCCAGTATTCTGTTCAGGTAGTAATGGAGCCTGTCAGGTATTCTGTTCAGGTAGCAATGGAGCCTGCCCGGTATTCTGTTCAGGTAGNCCCTAATTATCAAAACCAGCGTGGTCAGTCGCTCCAGAGACTCATTGACCGGCATCAGTTGTGCGCGTTGTCAATAGCTGATATATGTGTCGGTCCGTTGCACTCGTATGTTCATTCGGAGGATGGATCGTCGTCCCTTATAGACCACATTATCATCAACTCGTCAAAAGTTGATCTCGTCTGGGAATGCGCTGTACTAGATCGTGACTTCCTTGATGTTTCGAACCACAGGCCTTTGTTATGCGAGCTACACATTCCTCTTCCTGTTCCTAGGGAAACGTGTTGTAATACTCTGACGCGAGTCTCTTATAAGTGGATTACTTCTGGAGATTCTAAGAATGTTGATGTTTATCGCGATAGCCTGGATGAATGCATCAGTAACTCGTCGTTAGTGAACATGCAAGAGCTTTGTTCTGAGGACGATGTTGAGAATTANGTGGAGCCTGCCCGGTATTCTGTTAAGGTAGCAATGGAGCCTGTCAGGTATTCTGTTAATGTAGCAATGGAGCCCGTCAGGTATTCTGTTCAGGTAGCAGTGGAGCCTGCCCGGTATTCTGTTCAGGTAGCAATGGAGCCTGCCCAGTATTCTGTTAAGGTAGCAGTGCAGCCTGTCAGGTATTCTGTTCAGGTAGCAATGGAGTCTGTCAGGTATTCTGTTCAGGTAGCAGTGGAGCCTGTGGAAAATTGCAGCAAGTGGTGGTCAATTTTATAATCTTAAATGAAACCACAACTTGACTCAACATAATTCTTATGTTTTACTAAATTCAATTTTTTTTTTCTCTTTCTTTCTTAAAAATGGTAATTTTGTAAATAAATAAGCTTTATTAATTTTACAACAATTATGAAACAAGTTATTTCAACTTATGTAAATAACTCTTGTTGGCCCAGATCTTAGCATGCGGGAGGAAACCTGAGTACCCGGAGAAATCCCACGTGGTCGGGCAGGTGACCCTAAACCTTTTCACGTCCGATCGGGGAATCAAACCCCGGCCGCCTTGGTGAAAGGCAAGTGCGCTATCCACTGCACCACCCTAAATAATTTTGTGTTAAGCAAAAATAGAGTTCTAACAAATGGACACTGTCTGTTTTCTGAATGCTTGTGAAAAGCTTACAGCCCTGTCTGCCTAAGTAACATGGTATGGGTATTGGTAGTCCGAATTATTCTGACTTTTTATCGACTTTTTTCAGATCAATCCATGTGCGACATGTGTGTTAAAGTGACAATTTGTTTCTTAAATATCAGTTTGAAGTGTGCTCCGGCGCGGGGCGTATATTTCCCGCATATTATAGAGGGCCGGAGTTCTGACGTTAATCGACGACAGACCGATATGAAAAAGGTCGATAAAACGTCAGAATAATTTGGACTAGGGTATTGGGTGATCAGGAGGCACAGGGGATAGCGTACTTGCCTTTCACCAAGGTGGAATGGTATGGGGTGGGTTTTCTCCGAGTACTCCGGTTTCCTCCCACACTGAGACCCCCTGCACACTTACATCCAGGCCAACAAGAGTGTTTATTATAAGTTTCCACCCATCTAGGGCACTCTTTAGTTTTTCGTGTGATAATTGCTGTAGATCATTGTGCAGATATTTCAACCAAATTCCGTATGCACATTCGACTCATGCTAAGTTTGCCAAACGATGTGATTTGTGCATATTTACGGATAGTTAATGAGGTTAGTAAATTCTTATGGATTAAACAATTAATTTACACCGTAATACCTACATGTTCAATAAAAAGTCTTAACTAAGTTTTTTGTTTTCTTCAAGTTTCAAGCTATACATAATGTCTCAACAGCACGATACTCACATTTTTAAACCTATCCTCAATAATGTTTACCTACAATATGTCCTGCAAGCGGGAGATATAAATTCCACGAATTTGCTTGTTACCTACAATTATCAAATTCCTGACAAAACAATCAAAATTTATTCAGGTGATGAAAATAGTGGACAATATTCGACCTGACCGTCAGACGGTGATGTTCTCAGCCACTTTCCCGCGACAGATGGAGGCCCTAGCCAGGAAGATACTGAACAAACCCATCGAGGTGCAGGTGGGTGGCCGCAGTGTGGTGTGCAAGGACGTAGAACAGCATGTTATTGTCATTGATGAGGACAAGAAATTCCTGAAGCTGCTTGAGCTGCTGGGTATTTACCAGGAGAAGGGCAGTGTGCTGGTGTTTGTAGACAAGCAGGAACATGCGGACGACCTGATGAAGGATCTGATGAAGCACTCCTACCCCTGTCTCTCTCTACATGGTGCCATCGACCAGTATGACCGTGACAGCACAATCAGCGACTTCAAGAACGGCAACATTAGTCTACTGGTTAGTAGAGATCTTACACATTAATGTCAGTTCAGATTTAACATGATATTAGAGGTAGGCTTTTACACTCGCAGCTTCAGGCATATTTACACTTGGAACATATTTTCACTGAAGCTTACAAAAAATATAACAAGCAGAACTTACTTTACAGATATGTTTACATACAGACAAGTTTATATTCATTAAGTCTTGCCATGGACAAAGATATCTCTCATCCCTGTGTGTATATGACAGACCTGTCCAGGGTAAGAAAGGGGTGTAAGAATTTTCTATCTTACACCCCATTTCATGTACATGACGTCACAATAGGACAACAATGATGTGACAGGAAATTCCACCCTCAGTAAGTCTCGGGTTTAACCCAATTAGAATTTCCCTATCCTACACCACTGGGCATGAAAGAGCCTAATAATCATCAAAGATTGTGTACTGATACACTTTACAGAATGTGAACATAAATTCCCTCTTACTTAAGATGTTGGTAGGACATAATTATAGTAATAGATTTATCTATGTGTCTGTCTGTTGAATATTAGCCTTTAATATCTTGGCTTTGTTTCTTCGGACAGGTGGCGACTTCTGTGGCTGCCCGAGGTTTGGATGTACGACATCTGATACTGGTGGTTAATTATGACTGTACCAACCACTACGAGGACTATGTACACAGATGTGGGTAGGTACTCCGTAACTAGTACTGATCGACAGTACACAGATGTGTGTAGGTACGCCGTAACTAGTACTGATCATCAGTACACAGATGTGGGTAGGTACTACGTAACTAGTACTGATCGTCAGTGCACAGATGTGTGTAGGTACTCCGTAACTAATACTGATCGTCAGTACACAAATGTGGGTAGGTACTCCGTAACTAGTACTTATCGTCAGTACACAGATGTGGGTAGGGACTCCGTAACTAGTACTGATCGTAAGTACACAGATGTGTGTAGGTACGCCGTAACTAGTACTGATCATCAGTACACAGATGTGGGTAGGTCCTCCGTAACTAGTACTGATCGTCACACAGATGTGGGAAGGTAATCCGTAACTCGTACTGATCGTCAGTACACAGATCTGGGTAGAACAATACTCCACGTCGTCAGTAAAACTCAATTTGCAACAGTATCATCACGATATACAGCCGCAAATTTCAAAATGCAGTAGGGTTAGTACACAGATGTGTGTAGGTACTCCGTAGCTAGTACTGATCGGCATTACACAGATGTGGGTAAGTACTCCGTAACTAGTACTGACCGTCAGTACACAGATGTGGGTAGGTACTCCATAACTATTACTGATCGTCAGTACACAGATGTGGGGATACTGGTGGTTAATTATGACTGTACCAACCACTACGAGGACTATGTACGCAGATGTGGGTAGGTACTCCGTAACGAGTACTGATCGTCAGGACACAGATGTGTGTAGGTACTCCGTAACTAGTACTGATTGTCGGTACACAGATGTGGGTAGGTACTACGTAACTAGTACTGATCGTCAGTATACAGATGTGGGTAGGTCCTCCGTAACTAGTACTGATCGTCTGTACACAGATGTGTGTAGGTACTACGTAACTAGTACTGATCGTCAGTGCACAGATGTGTGTAGGTACTCCGTAACTAGTACTTATCGTCAGTACACAGATGTGGGTAAGTACTCCGTAACTAGTACTGATCATCAGTACACAGATGTGTGTAGGTCCTCCGTAACTAGTACTGATCGTCGGTACACAGATGTGGGTAGGTACTACGTAACTAGTACTGATCGTCAGTGCACAGATGTGTGTAGGTACTCCGTAGCTAGTACTGATCGTCAGAACACAGAAGCGGGTAAGTACTCCGTAACTCGTTCTGATCGTCAGTACACAGATGTGAGTAAGGACTCCGTAACTAGTACTGATCGTCTGTACACAGATGTGTGTAGGTACTACGTAACTAGTACTGATCGTCAGTACTCAGATGTGGGTAGGGACTCCGTAACTAGTACTGATCGTAAGTACACAGATGTGTGTAGGTACTACGTAACTAGTACTGATCGTCAGTATACAGATGTGGGTAGGTCCTCCGTAACTAGTACTGATCGTCTGTAAACAGATGTGTGTAGGTACTCCGTAGCTAGTACTGATCGTCAGTAAACAGATGTGGGTAGGTACTCCGTGACTAGTACTGATCGTCAGTACACAAATGTGGGTAGGTACTCCGTAACTATTACTGATCGTCAGTACACAGATGTGAGTAAGGACTCCGTAACTAGTACTGATCGTTAGTACACAGATGTGTGTAGGTACGCCGTAACTAGTACTGATCATCAGTACACAGATGTGGGTAGGTACTCAGTAACTAGTACTGATCGTCAGTAAACAGATGTGGGTAGGTACTCCGTGACTAGTACTGATCGTCAGTACACATATGTGTGTAGGTACTCCGTAACTAGTCCTGATCCTCAATACACAGATGTGGGAAGGTACTCCGTAGCTAGTACTGATCGGCATTACACAGATGTGGGTAAGTACTCCGTAACTAGTACTGACCGTCAGTACACAGATGTGGGTAGGCACTCCGTAACTAGTACTGATCGTCTGTACACAGATGTGTGTAGGTACTACGTAACTAGTACTGATCGTCAGTGCACAGATGTGTGTAGGTACTCCGTAGCTAGTACTGATCGTCAGTCCACAGATGTGGGTAGGTACTCCGTAACTAGTACTGATCGTCAGTACACAGATGTGGGTAGAACAATACTCCACGTCGCCAGTAAAACTCAATTTGCAACAGTATCATCACGATATACAGCCGCAAATTTCAAAATGCAGTAGGGTTATCCCCTAAGTGGTTGCCATGGTTGGAATTTTACTTGTTACGCCCTCATTAATTTGAGCAAATTGATCAGTACCGTGGTTATCAGTGCATAGCTTGCTAAAAGTAGTATTAGGAGTAGTAGGAGGCACGGTAGTCTAGTGGTAGGACGCGCGGCTTGTGACCGAAGGGTTGCGGGTTCGAGTCACGGCACGGCACTGTGTTGTATCTTTGAGCAAGATACTTTACTCCGCTTGTTCCAGTCTACGAAGCTGTAAATGAGTACGTGGTTGGGCAGTGTTAGAATTGTTGAATGCTAGCTGTTAACGCCAAAATGGCAGCTCCGGCTGTATGCTCCCCAGGGAGTTGAGAAAGGTATTGGCTGGTTGCAAAGGCCCTATAACCACGGATAATAATTTGTAAACCGCTTTGAGACGTCCTAGGAACTAGGTTGTGATAAAGCTGAAAATAACACTGGACAAGTATTGTTTTTCTGGTGACAGGTGAATATTTAACTGAGCAAGTATTTCCCAGTAGTGATTTAACAATTATCACAATAATGAGTTTACTGGTGACAGGGGGATATTTCACTAAGCAAGTATTTCACAGTTGTGATTTAACCATTATCACAATAATGAGTTTACCGGTGACAGGGGAATATTTCAATAAGCAAGTCTTTCACATTAGTGATTTAATCATTATCACAATAATAAGTTTGCTGGTGACAGGGAATATTTCACTAAGCAAGTATTTCCCAGTAGTAATTTAACCATTATCACAATAATGAGTTTACTGGTGACAGGGGAATATTTCAATAAGCAAGTATTTCACATTAGTGATTTAACCATTATCACAATTATGAGTTTACTGGTGACAGGGGAATATTTCACTGAGCAAGTATTTCACAGTAGTGATTTAACCATTATCACAATAATGAGTTTACTGGCGACAGGGGAATATTTCAATAAGCAAGTATTTCACATTAGTGATTTAACCATTATCCCAGTAATGAGTGGGGAATATTTCACTAAGCAAGTATTTCCCAGTAGTGATTTAACCATTATCACAATTATGAGTTTACTGGTGACAGGGGAATATTTCACTAAGCAAGTATTTCACATTAGTGATTTAACCATTATCACAGTAATGAGTGGGGAATATTTCACTAAGCAAGTATTTCCCAGTAGTGATTTAACCATTATCACAATAATGAGTTTACTGGTGACAGGGGAATATTTCACTGAGCAAGTATTTCACATTAGTGATTTAACCATTATCCCAGTAATGAGTGGGGAATATTTCACTAAGCAAGTATTTCCCAGTAGTGATTTAACCATTATCACAATAATGAGTTTACTGGTGACAGGGGAATATTTCACTGAGCAAGTATTTCACATTAGTGATTTAACCATTATCGAAATAACAAGAACTGCTCTTTATCTACTAGTGGTTATACTTATAGCCAAGAGATAGAAATGAAACAAACTAAACCAGTCTTTAGAAAATTTGTCTGTTCTCAAGGTATTTCTATGCCATTAACCATTGAATAGTTGAAATTAAATCTACAAATTAATAAACATCCACATATATCACAATATACTGTTTATGTATCATAAAATCATAAATTTTGGTACAACATCATTAACGTTGTCCACCACTGATTAAAACATATATTGCTTTTTAAAGCCGGACAGGAAGGGCAGGCAACAAAGGTTTTGCTTACACCTTCATCACCCCAGAGCAGGAGCGATATTCTGGAGACATTCTGAAGGCCCTGGAGATGTCAGGAGGTAATGTCCCTGCTGACCTTGAACGTCTGTGGAATGAATACAAGGAAAGGGCCAAGGCTGTAAGTAGCTTAGATGGATTTTTTACCAAATGAATTTTGTATAAAAAGGCAGTCAATTTCAACTTTTCAAATGTATTTTCCAAATCTGTTTTTGAACATTATCAGTATCACAAAGGATTTAAACGATCAACCTAAAGTTTAATCCCTAAAAAAGAGGGCTATGTAGCAGCCACAAGATTTATCCTGTGTGCAGTACTGGTATTTATACTTCCCCATGACTAGGGGTTTATAGCAAAAGAATTATTCTGTACATTGAATTTTTCATATTTTTTTCCATATATTTACCAAATCTACATCTTTATGATGTATGATGTGGCATATAATGTAACTGATGTTAATTGATGATCAGTGTCAAGCTCAGAGAGGTTTCTGATGAGCTCCGTCCCCTTGTATGGCACCGCGAACCTGTTATATTACACAGTACTTCTAGTTTCTACATCTACACAGGTATTCATGTGACCGTACATTCTTGGTCAGTATTTATGTACAGTCAAGGAACAATACATGGAAACTTTCCAGAAAAACTATTTGAAATGAGAAAAAAATTCTCATAACCGTTCAATAAAAGATATTGTTTTACAGGAGGGCCGGACTGTGAAGAGCTCCAGTGGATTCAGGGGTAAAGGGTTCAAGTTTGATGAAACTGAATCTCATCTAGCAGATGAGAGAAAGAAAGCACAGAAGGCAGCCCTTGGTCTCCAGGACTCTGACGATGAGGATAGCAGTATGGATGTAAGTTTTTATGTCATAAGCCTTATTTGTCTGGCTATAGTTGTTAGCTCACCTGGTCCGAAGGACTAAGGTGAGATCATGCCATACAGTGGCGTCCGTCCTCTGTCCGTGCGTCAACAATTAAAATTAAAATTAAAATAAAAATTGTTCAAATAGTTGGGCTTACCCCTGCAGGAGCTGAGGGGCGGGGCCAAAAGGGGGGCAATTTGGCTATATTGCTTTAAGCGACTTCTTCTCTGGAACTTAGTGATAGATATCAACCATATTTAACTGGAAGCATCCCTAGGTGGTGGGGATTCAAAATTGTACAAATGGTTGGGTTGCTGAGGGGCAGGCCAAATAGGGGCAATTTGGTTATATTGCTACAAATGACTTCTTCTGTAGAACTATGCACTGGATATCACTCATATTTGATCAAAAGCATTCATAGGAGGCAGGGATTCAAAATTGTTCAAATGGTGGGGCTCACCCCCCAGGGGGCTGAAGGGTGGGGCAAAAAAAAGTTTATTAATTGGAAATGGTTGAGATCCCCACGGTATAACCATATATACAATTGCTGAGTATAAAGAGAAGAACGCACATTTGGTTCCAGGATGGCTCTAGGGTCTGGCCCCACCCTTGGAGACATAGTCCCTGGGTCATAACTTTAAAACGGTTGAGATCCCCACCCCAAAACTATGTATACAAATGCTGGGCATAAAGAGACGAATGCAGTCATGATATTATAATAGACCCTGGGGGCTTGCCGAACCCCTAGGGACCTAGTTTCTTAGTCACCGCTTGGAAACAGTTGAGATCCCCACCCTATAACCATATATACAACTGCTGAGTATAAAGAGATGAATGTACATATGCTTCCAGGATGGCCTTGGGGACTGCCCCACCCTTGGAGACTTAACTCCATGGTCATAACTTCTAAATGGTTAAGATCCCCACTCCAAATACTATCATTAGATGAACAAAATGAGTGTTTACTTTTTTGTATTGTTAAAAATAATTGTAATAAAAAATAAAATAAAAAAAAACAGTAATATACCGCGTGCATGTAGGTAATGGACGTCCCCATTCTTGTCCGGGTGCAAAGTAAAAGACTTTACAGGGACATGACGCAGACGGATACAGTGTTGGGGTGGCTGATACATGCATGCTCGGGGACAACTTACAAACTTAATATAACTATATAAAATATATATTTATATATAACACATGTATAAACATAGCTATTGAATGTAAGGTGTACGAATAGTGAAAGACCACCTGCGAGTGGACACTTTATTGTTCGGGGGGCTGATCCCAGGGCTCCTCAACTCTGGCAGCCTTCAACAACCACTGAATATTCGCATATGCATATGTCAAAGATCTATGAAAATGAGAATATCAAAATGCTGAGGAATTAAAATTTGTATAAAAAA